TTTATCATATATAAAATATATTATTTTTATTATACCTATTTATTTTATTTACCTGTTTTAACTTTCTTGTTTTTCTGTGTAAATAAAATAATTCAGGGGCAGGATTAACTTGGTTGTTTGGAACTAAAACTATTAACAAATGATTACCCAAAGGATCAAGAAACATTCCTGACATATTCATATTCATTGTATATTTAGATATGTCAATTTCTGAAATAAACATTTTATATCATATTACCAATTTTATATTTTATATTACTAAAAGTAATTAAGAGAATAATACCTTCAGGTGAATTAGGATGTTTCAAATCAATACGTAAAAGAATATTATTAGCCATAGCAATAATAACGATATTATTATTAACAACAAGGTGTAAAATTTTGTCAGATGGTAAAAAATTAACTTTTTGCTTTATAAAAATTGGCCCATCATCTTGAAATTTCATTTGGATAAATCCAGCGGTACTCTAAAAGATTGATAAGACATTTATTTCTTAATATCTATTTTTAAGATAAAAATAAAAATTTTATACATATCAAAAGGAAAGCATGAAATTAAAGTTTATAAAATATATATAATGTAGAATGAAAAAAAACTTATATTACTTATAAACGTACAATGTCTGGACGAAGTGGTGGTGCACATATTTGTTTTGATCTTTGAGATGCTTGTTCATACTGATCAAACATTGATGTCATTTTGTTAATTTATTTAGAACTGTTCACTTTACTATAATTACAAATAAATAAATTGTAATTATGCTTTACAATTAAAGTTAATGCTTTATTGTATTATACTTATATATTAAAATATTATTGTTTTACTTGTATTTATTATAAAATTTCTATACTGAGTAAATTTTTAATGCACATTTATAATAATAATCTCAATACAAAAGTCTCATTAAACTTTAAATCATAGATTAATCTGAACTTCTTTATGATTTACTGTAGATATATTATATATTATTTTGTTGAATAAATAAATATCATCACAAATCAAATCACTTTATTTCAGTCTACAAACAATAAACTTACAATGCTTTTTAACATAGATTAAAATCTGACAGTAACTTGTGAAATTCAGCTGCATTGGTAGCAGTGATAAAGTCCAAACATAACAAAGTTATACGAATAGAAATGTTAGATAAAAATGTGAATATAAATCAGATAATTCAGTATTATGCATTATTTACTATATATAATTATCATTATATTGTACAATAATTGATAATAAACAATCTTTATTTTTATTGCATTTTATTATACTGTCATTTAACATATACCTAATAAGTACATATTTCATCTAGCTGGATTTTATCTCAATTATCTGCTAAAAACGTGGTACAGAATTCAAGTATTTGTATTAAAGCATATCTAGCTAGCATTAAACGATCAGTACGAAATCACTATTATTTAAATGTCTGATTCTAATGCAATGGAAAATGATAGTGATCCAGTGGTTAAAGAGGTTCGTAAATAAATCTTATTTTCTTTCAGTTTTTTTAAGTTTAGATTAACTATAGGTTATGTACTTGAATTGTTACAATGTATATTTTGTCACGTCTAATACAAATTTTGATTATTACAATGAATAATTATTTTTAGTATACTTAAATAAACTTGTACTAGACATTTGTAAAGATATTATTATGTAAATTAATAATATCGTAAATTATTAAAATTATTCTTTCAAATAAATTTTCTAAAATAACGAATGTGTGATAACAATTACATATATATTCTTACTAATTAAATATACGAATTAAAAAGAAATAGAATGTTTGTAAAATAAAGTATTTATTTGTTTATGAATAGAAAATAGAAATTTAAATTTATTATAGATTCCAGTATACCTCTCAAAAACACTTGCAGAAAAATTATTTATTTTTCAATATCCTGTTCGTTCTTGTAAAGAAGGATATGACAATGTAACTTTCTTAAAAACTTCAATAAAGCCAGAGAATCAAGAAGTTCTCATAGAAGTAGCAGTAGATACACATAGTGTCAATTATGATCAAAGTAAAGGTGAGCAAATTGCAATAAATGCAGATGGAGATTCAAAGATTGATCAAGAAGATGATGAAAAGGCATTTGACAGGTATTTAAAACATTATAATTACATAAATAAATGATTTATTTGCCTTATATGATATATTACAAATTTTATGTTATAGTAATGTTATGGACAAAACAGTATTACAATCTTCTCGAGCATTGCCAAATTGTTCTAATTATGGAGTTGGCATTTTTCAAGATGGGGAGTTACATATAACACCATTGAGAGGAATAGTTCAAATGCGCCCTCAATTTAATTATCTAGATAAAAGTGATAAACGTGTAAGAGAAGAAGCCAAAAATATGGGTGAAGGTAACATTTAAATAATTTTTGTATTAATTCAATTTAATTTGAATGTAATATTCTTTTAACATTCAGAATATGATGAAGAAGAAGAAGGTCCAAAACAAGTTAATGTAACTTTTGCTAGACAAAAACCTGAATTTATGAAAAAGATGCAAGAGCAATCTTTCCAACATTATGCTAAGAAAAGTTTAGAAGAAAGATGGATTCATACAAATTATAATCCAGTGAATAGTACTCAGGCAGAGGTTAATATTATTTTCAATTGGTTTTATTGTTGAAATATTTATTATATCAGATATTTATTATAGAAATATATTTTCAGCTTACACGTTTAGAAATGTTTTGTCCTTCTACTGATGAAACTGTAAACACATTAAATATATCAACTCAACAATATTTAGAATTATTAGCACCTAAAGCAAAAGAAGATCACTATTTAAAATCAAATGTTTCCAACCATACTACATCTCTCAATTATATTAGGACTCTACCTCTTCTTGATCAAGTTAAGATACTCATGAAAGATGGTTAGTATCTCCAAGATTTTTACATATATTAATTTTAGATCTCCATATAGTAATACAAGTTTCTTTTATAGCCAAAGTAATATCCTTTGCACAGTTAAGATCAATTTTGTCACCAGATCAAGAAACATCAGCTATTTTAAAATATTTACAACAAGTAGCAGTTTTAGTACAAGGAAATTGGGTAGTAAATAGCGAACTTCTATATCCAAAAGATAGTATATCGTCAGATAATGGTATTCCAGCAGAACTTATGTGTAGAGCTCGAGATTATATCGTAAGTGTTTTATTTATTAAGTAAGTTATAAGCATGTCATAAAAAAAAATTATTATTGTACTAAAATTATACATTTTTAGTTATTATCATTCACGGAACACGAATTCGTAGATCGAAAAATAGTTTCATCTGTTATTAAATTGCCTCCTGATGAAATTAAAGAAATATTCACAAATCTAGGAGTACATGAACCTAAAAAAGGATGGCGATTAGTTATTCCATCTACTAAAGAGTTTACTGAAAAGTATAATAATCTTTTATTATAATAACGAGGAAAACTAATATTTGATACTATATTTACATATTTTGTTCAATAGATATCCTGAAATTACACAAAGACAAGAAATGTTTTGGGAAGCAAAAAGAAAACACCTTCGTGAAGCTATGGAGGTTCAGAATCAAATTCCACAACGTCAAAGGCGAAAATCAAACAGAGAATCAGTTGGATCTGAAAATGAAGAACGAAACATAGGACGTGGAAGGAAAACATTAAGAGATTCATCAATGTCTGATAATGACAGTGTGTCAGAGCCAGTGAAGCATAAAAAAATTATTCGATCCCGCAAAGTATCCGAGACCACGTGACCAAAGTTGATGCGTGATTAAAATGTATGATATTGCTATATATTGTTAATATGTTTGAAATTGCAAAAAATTTACCTGGGTTATGTTATTATATTGTTTAGATATACTGCCAAAATTTTATAATATACTTATATTCTTAAATTATTTAAGTAAAATATTTTCTAGTCTCATTTGACGGGTCTAGTAAACGACAACACAAATTCCAAAAATTATTTTGTTCATAAAGAAATTCTACACTTTGTTATATTATTATTTATATTTATACCTTTGGTTTTGTATGTCGTGCATAATATAAAATTCGCTTCAGTTTAAATAATATTGTTTATTGAAAAATGTACAGAAACAACAAATATTTGCTCGGTTACATATAGCGATTGTAAAGAATTTGTTAGCAAATGTCACTGACGACAATGACTGAACAGCATGGTATCATAATAACCGTAAAGAACATTTGTTTATTATTTCCAATAGTTCCAACACATCGTTGATTGATGAATGATATAATTTTTATTTTATTACAAATATTTTTACGAATAAGAAGAGCATGATGTGAAATCATAACTAATATTAAGTAAAAGTATATGTACAATATATAAAAATGTGAGACGAATTATGTATTCTATTTGTTACTATAATATTTTACAGATACGTACTTGTAGCTAAAAAATCTCATGAATCCTTACATACCCTATCTATTTCATGTATTTTATATAGTTTAAACAGTATTATATAGAATATTAATTTTAATACAATTTTATATTATTATTACACTTTAAAAGTTATTTTTCAGTTACATAGAAAATAGCGCTTGTATAAAAAGAAGAAATACTAATAAAAGCCAGTACAGCTATGCAAACTTCTAATTAATGACAAATAACATGAACATGTAAGTACATACGCGTGTTTAGCATTTTTATGTTTAATATATTTATCACTAAATATAAGAACTAAAAAAGAAAAGAGGGAGGCAACACCAACTTTATTGTTAAAATGTAACTTTCCCTATCTAGTTACGAAATTAATGATAAAAAGAAAGGAGAAGGTACTGACATATTTCCTTACAAATAAACCTTCAATGCATTAATATTAGTTATCGCAGAGTGTTAATATACGTTAATTTCGTGAATGAAAAGAATGTTGCGAATGCGTAAAGTCATGACGGTCATTCACCTAAATTGCTAACAGGTATCGCCATAAAACACATCCAAAAAAGGAATTGACAGAATTAAATGACATAAAATAAGCACCTTTAGACGACGAATTAAAGTTCACCTTCCGCCTAATTTTGCTTTTCATCTCGTTTTCCTCATTTCCCTCTATAATGGTCCATTTGCGTATTATAGGGGCAGAACAGAGGGCGAACACACTTTCTCCTATAGGCCTGACAGCCGGTGAAAGTATTTCTTACGTCTTTATACGGTCGAAACACCCAAATATTTATTATTCCATCAGTACTACGTCTTCCCAGAAATAATAAAAGATTTATTTTTGAAACATTTTAATAACAAATTCTAACATATGATATTGCTTATTTGAGACGCAATTATATTTGTTAATTAAAACCATAGTAGAAAATTTGTAATTTCACGATGAATTCTTATTTCAATATTTTTTTAAATTTTACAATATCTTTTTACATCGTAGAGAAATATAATGTTCAACTAACAGTGATGTGAAAGTTAAAGATTCAAAATCAAGTGTTTGACGATGTTTTATAACAAAAATATTGAGAACAATGAAGGGTTAATACATTATTTAATTACGACAATACACGACTATATATCCAACGTTTGTATACTGAGAATGCATTTCATTCTTTAACTCAACGATCTAAATTCAGTTGCAGTTAGTAGAAACCGGTTCGATAACTGAAAAAGTCAATTCTCTTCGACGAGGTCAATTTTCTAAGGAACGAACGCACCAGGGTTTGAAATACATAGCGGGAAATAAACACTTGCCCGTTGAGATATATTATCCATGAAAGTTCGAGTCTTCGAATAAAGTATCGAATGAGTGGATGGAACTTGTTTCACCTGAAGAATAGCTTCAAAAATATATCACGCTAATTGCTCGGTCGTACGAATTTTTGCGAAATTTGAACTAGAATTTAGCTTACGGAAGAATGTAACTCTCATCTCGACAGGATCATATACTCTTGCATAATCTGTGACTAATGATCTTAAACCCTCGTCTATAAAAGGTAAGAACCAAGTTCCTAAATAAGACAAGGTTTCTGCACATCGAAATCTACACGCCTCGTTGACAAGAAAAGGAAAAGTTTCAGTAAGAAGGAGGAGAGGCAAAGAAAGTGAATGACGGCCGAATCTTCATGCGATCTTGTCGATCGCATCAATCGAAAGGAATCACTTCTCGATTTCCGACAAGTGAAAACAATGACCTTCGATAGACGTCTCTGCAAGAAAGAAAGTCCACTCGATCCGTTTCCATACGATTTCAATAAATTACACGCTAAGCAGTGCGTTGAATTCGACCAGGGGGAGCGACGAATCACGCTCCCGAAGAGACAAAACATCGAAGAAGAGAGATCGAAAGTTCCTCAATAGGCGTAAATTTTGGCTTTGTTCTTTTCCTTGGTTCTTTGATCACCTGCCATCTATCGATTTATAATTCAGTAATTATATTAAAATATCTATAAATAAAATCGATTCAATTGATTAATATTAATTTTATAAAGTTACTAAATTAAGTCGATACTTCTAGGTTATGATACAAATAGTATTATTTTAGGAACTAGTCGAAAAGGAAATAAACGTATAAAAAGAAACAAGAGGATACACGACCTTTTGTGGATGCAGTTAAGATATGTACTCTGTGTGAAAGGTGATTAAATTAAGTACAGATAAACCAACCTACTTTCAACATTTCAGTAGTACAGCGTGCAGCTTACGATTTAGGTGAAAAGCAATTAAAGTTCGTATTTGTATACGATGCGTATGTAGAGATTTAAAGATGCACAGAAATAGGTCAAGTGATATGTGAAAGAGCAATGTTAGTTTATCAGAACTTTGACTTTTTATGAATTTTTTTTCATATTTTCAGCCCTTGAACATTTAATGGTGAATAAGCGTACAGAATAATCTGTCACCGCATTCTAGGATCAAAATAAAAGTTCATTGTTATACATTGGAATTAAAGTCACGTTTATTGAATGCAAATAAAGTCTTAGCGACGATGTAAAATTTGACGTCGAAATACGACACGACCTACTATTGAAAGGAAATTTTCATGTAGCGTGTGGTAGAAAGCCACTTCACCCGATTTCGTTGAGTCCCGTTGGTATTGAAAGTAAAGTACTTTGCGGAAACGATCGGGTGTGAAGTCCCGTGTGTATGGAAGTAAAAAGTATTGAAAGACCGTGGCTATCGGTGACGTAAGAATTGCATTGAACCGTACAATTGATTCGATACTTTTTCTTCTAAAGCTTCGTTAAAATCCTGTTAACCATGAAAAGGTACCTTTTGTTATAAATATTGCAAATAATTACATATTATTCATTCCTTTGTCCTTCCATTTCAGACGATAGATTATCGACGTTTATGCGAAGAAAAAAATGCGAGGAATTTCACTGAAGAATTTCAGATCTAACGCAGCACTGTTTCACTTTCTTGAATCGCAAGCAGGTTTCGTGCTCTATCTGCAATCGATTACATATCATAGTGCAATACATGCTTCGTTACATACATACTAATTCCGCATTTAACATAATTACCTACCAATTACTTCCGATTCGATTTTTTCGATTTGGGTACCAATTGACGTTATAAGAAAAGATAACTACGAAGGTTTTTAATAATTGCAAGAATCAAAATTTCACTTGGTATTTTATTTTGCTAGTTAAGATTTCATTCCTAAATTCCTGTAAAATTTATCGTTATAGATATACGTGTAATAATACGCGTAATAATATGCTCTGTTTCCATTTCAGTGTAGAGCAGTAAGAAAATCTAATAATAAAATACGAAATATTGTATATTGCTACAAAAGAAATTTAGTAATTGAAGAAAGAAGTTTAGTAATGCTGAAATGAAAATAGAAAAGCAGAGAGAAAAGAGTTTAACCTCGAAATAAACTAAAGCAATTACTTTACCATTTGCACGTGAGATTCTATCTTCTTTATTGTAATAAATACAAACTTTCTTCGGTAATAGCGATTCCAAAACACATTGTTCTAACCACTGTTTCATATCATATTAATGTTCATTAGAAATTTCTTATCAGAATCACCACAGTCATGAATCACTCTGTTTAAATCTACAGTGGATTGCATTCAGTTCAAACATGAACAAACATGTTCCGCATTGTATCTTAGGTTTAATTACATCATTAAGACTGCGTCACAGTTCGACGTAACAGCCTGCAATTAATCAATTACAGTCAAATCCTGTTCATCGGAGCAACGTATTCGATAATTCTTCGTTGTTCAAGATCACCATTGGAGGGCTAAAAATTTTGGCCAGCACTTTGTTTTACGGTATGCGTCTGTCGATGTCTCCCACTACCCCAAAGAGAACCGAGATATTACTTGGTGGAGGTAACTTTCAGCGAGACACGCTATATAAGAGAATGAAGAACCGGCCGGCCAAGATAAAGCTCGTGTGTTGTCAATCCGTTCGTCGTGCTGTTACTCCTCTACCTCCGTCGTTGACAGGTAAGTGGGGTAAAAAGTACGTTTCCGAAAAAAATAGGAAGGGGAAGAAGGAATAACGCGAGAAATGTGAGACCAGTGACGAATATCGAACAGTGCAAGTGATTCCATTGGAAATCCAATGATAGCTTATCTGCTTCTCATCTGTGTATCATTGGCGGTTCTTTCTTCTTAAACGTGTGAGCGATCATTCGAGTCTGAGTTGAAAGAAGGGAATGATTCGAATGAAATCAAATAATATCAACTATAAAATAAATGCGAATACCAATGTATATTTTGCGCTAGATAGATCTAGGGAAATACGAAAAATTTGCGAAATTATCGTTGTTATGCATGGCGGAGCAGAGATTATGGCACGTGCCTTAGAAACGGGAAAGGAAACCGGTTGTGCGAGGGCGATCAGGAACTGCAGTTAGGAATTTATGAAAGATTTTAGTAGTATTAGTAGATTGATGTTACTACATAAGTTTCGCGAGCTATTGCGTCTTACCTCTAATGTCTAGTGTTCTATTTGAAATGAAATCCTCGAGTTGCACGATATCGTTCTTCATGGCTTTATAGGATTTATATTTAGTTCCCTATTTATATTTTATAGTTATTAAATAATGTAATAAATAGTATAGTTAATAAATAATGTGATTAGATTTTATACAATTATTTCGTTCTTCACAGATCTTTCGCAAATCGGAACGTAGTTTGGATACTTGAAATTCTGAGGTATTTCATCGAATACGACTCGATATACGAGAATAGAGGCTAATATTTTGTAGACCACAGGCTTTGATCCATCGAAACAAAAGAAACAAAAAGAAGAAAAAATGTCGTCACAGATATAAAGCTTGCTCCAGATTTCCGTAAGAGCATATCGAAGTCCGACAACTGGCCGACCAGTTACGTGTGCCCTCCACTGATTATCTTATATCGCCGCGTTCCTCTTGTTTATAGTTGTCCGACAACTATCTCTTTTTTCATTATGTAATTGCTTTCTTTGATATGCTTCGAGAAACCCCTCTGGCACAGTTTCCAATCTCAACTATTTTTATGTTTGTTAAAAACCAAAAATATTTTTTGACAAACCACTGAAATTAACCCTAGTAATAAGTTCGATCGTATATATATTTCTTCGTATTAATCCATTCGCTATTTCACCAAGGTTCATCGAGTTAAGAAATTTTAATAAACCTTAAACCATAAATGAAAGTAAACGAATTTCAACCGATCTCTATACAAAACCATACGATTCATCTCTCTCCAACTATTTATCAGTTTCTCAAATTAGCGAACCACGAGAAAGTCCAGTTATTTATGACAAAAGTCCTCATTGAAAGAAACTCGCCATTTCCATAAATCCATTCTAGTAAAAAGGAAACTAAATTCGCACAATTATGTTTCGAGTAGTTTCTCAAAATTGCCGTAATTATTAAAAGACGTTAACCACGTTCTATCGTGTACCAGCACGTAGAGAAAGTTTCTACGATTTTTCTTGATCAATGATATCGGAGAAACTGAAATGGAAACAGAGCACGAAAAAAGTAGCTCCGCCGAGACGATCGAATTCTTAACGATCCCTCGCATTTGTACCGAGTCCTCCATCAGTGTCCTTTCTAGGTGGCGAACCTTGGACGATACTGTTTCGCGATATGCATGCTCTTACAGCATAACTGAATTTGCAACACTCGAGACAGATACGTTCTCATTTTTCTCGGGTAGTACCATTTTTACACGCAGACCCTCTCACTTTCACTCGGGCTACCGATCGAGCCAAGTTTGCGACTACCTCTCAACGATCGGCCGGTTTGCGAACTTACGCCTAGTAAAGACAAGATTCTCATTAAGAGCGACAACTACATTTTTCCGTATCTCGTCGTCGCCACTCATTGACCACTTTGTTTCTTTAAATGGACTGGTTAATCAAGTAAATCGCCGCAGGAATTACGCGATGACCCGAGAACCCATTTGAGAAACGGGTTGCGTAAAAGTCGCATTGAACGAGGAAAAAGCAGGTTACATTCGACCTTTGTAACGAGTTCAGGAAACCTTTCTCGTTTCCTTCGATTATGTCGACTTTTCAGTGAAAAAAAGAGATTTTCACCAGTCACCTGCGAGCTTCGATAATGGTGTACCTCGTCGACAAATGGTGTGAATACTTTCGCGTAAAGAACTTGATTTGCAAGGGATAGAGGAAGAGTAAAGAGAGTCTATCGCGATTTTATTTCTCATTCGTAATTTACCGATTACTATGATATAAGAATATAAGAATCGTTTCAGTTTTCTTTATTATTGTCGGCGTGTATTTGTATGTTTGTCAGGTGTTCGAGATTTCTCTTAACAGACGAGAAATTAGTATCACCGAGATGTCAAGAGGTTCGCTTTCATAAGTCGAGCCTTTCAAATTTATCGAAAGCACAGGATCTCTCGCGATACATCATCATCATCGTTACGAATGATGATTTCCAACGAATCGTGAAACCGCTATCCATGTTTTGCGTTCTTAGAAAGTAAGGTGCTTTCCACGACCATTATCGACAGAAGTGTAAACGCACGTGTTTCTGTCAAAGCAAACAATAGATTTGTCGCCAAAAATCCGACGAACTTAACAAGCGTTTGGTATGTTTAATAAATATCTGGAAACCAACGAGTCCCGTTTCTTATGAGCAAATATATCGATTAAGCTATTCCCTCACGTTTCTCTTTACCCCTGTTTCTCGCGAATATTCTAGGTCGTCGACACGAGTTCTTTCAGTACGTTCGCGGACACTCAGCTACCAGATGAAGTCGCTAATAGTTACCAGATATCGCTTCTCTCGATGATTTATACCCCTATCTTTCTCTCTTTCGACCATTTCTCATTTCTAAGTCGTATTGGTCGGTGAAATTGTAATGATGTGTTCAATTATTGTACACCGAAGAATTATCGCAGTTAAAGTCATCATCGATCAATTCGAATATCAAAAATTACGTAAAAGTATTCGATAATCGATCATACGTGACACGTTTACGATATGATAAATAAAATCGATTAACTTTAAGTAGCTCGTAATATTTCGACCAAGATGAACATCGTTTTACGTAAATTTAATGAAACATCGTTGCTTTTCACTTCGGCTCAACCACCGTGCTTTATAGGAGGCATCAAGAGCCAAGGTCGCTTTCCCTTGCACATGTTGTCAGCCTTAAATGGGATAAATTTTCTCCACGTACTACATATGAAAAAATACATCACACGCGTCATGCTAGAGAGTGAAAAATTGTGGATCAGTTGGCAAAGCTCTCTCGTTTTCCATTTATAGAATGTACTGGCTGTGCTTGACGGCATTAGCTGCGACTGCAGCAGCGCAGGGCCCGTATGATTTGGAACCGAGGGTGCCCTATCCCGGCAAATCGTCCAGTTTAGGACCACTCTACTCGTCTGGCCTTAGTCCTGGTCAAGGTTTCCGCGATAATAGTTACGAGGATAACATTGTAACACCTACTCCATCCCCAACGCCTGCCTACAGAAATCCTGGCAATCAACCACCTGTAAGCAAAGAGACTATAATTTATTCTTTCGATATACCACTTTCTTACGTCGATGATTCTTACCTTTTTTACCTAATTGTAAACTCGTATCTCGTATAATATATATCCTTTTAAATTGTTAGTTGCAATGAAAGCAGTTACGTCATACGGTATTACGTGTGTCGTTACATATTACGCAACAACTTACGTAAAAATAAGTTACTTTCAGTTGCTTTAACGTATCGACCCGAATGTATTTATTACCATGCGTAACCATGTAAAAAATACATGGACCTTCATGAATGGTTTGAAGAGTACAGAAAGGATATGGATACGAGGTATCATTTACCGTATACAAGTATCATTTTGTAGCTGTATCGCAAACCTTCGGCCCCGTCCCTCGATCAGGCAGCTCTCAGGGTGAATGGACCACCGCGTGGGGTTCTTCGTGGTGGACAACCACAAAATGTTCGGGTAATTATTCCTTCTTTTTTTTTATTTTCATGTCCAAGACAAGTCACAGGGTTGCTGTTTATAAAATTTTGGTAGTCGTAGTCGAAACAGTTGAAACTGTTACGCTTTGTATCTCACAACAAGTGAAAGTAGTATAAGAAATTCTTGCATCCATTGTTTGCAGTGGTACACAATAAGCTTACATAATAATCAGTCATTACGTCGAGAAGAAAGAAATGTTTTCACGAAGAAGTAAACCGTTTTGTTTATTTTTTGCGCGTGATTTCCAATAATTACGTGTCTCGTTGCTGCTCCACAACGGTTGTCGGAATTAAGTAATAATTTTGTAGCAACTCGTTGAACCGATTTTACCAGAAATCCTGTTACGTTGCTGAGAATACAATGGGAAGATGAAACATTTTATATAAACGGTCTTATACGTTACTTTGCTCGCATTGAGGTATAATGTTGTTAGTTGTTTCATTCTAAAAATTAAAGGACGCTGACGAATTGGAAGAGAAGGAAGAGCCCGACCGTTTGACCCTCCTTTTACCACAGAGTAAATTCGATTGTGTGAACAAGCAAACGGGTTATTATGCTGATGAGGATCTTAATTGCGAGGTCTTTCATTATTGTCAAGATAACGCGAAACACTCTTGGATTTGTCCCGAAGGATTTACATTCCATCAGGTAATTTTTAACTCTTGATCTATTATCTGTGCAACTTATTAGTCAGAAACCCTTAAAGCCACGAAGCAAATAGTTTTTGTAAATGAATTAATTTCCATTAAGTCAAAACATCGTTAGAAAAATAAATTATTACGTCCGAAATGTCATTAGCCTGTGTAACGAGTTAACACGTCATTTTCAGTTAACAGGTTTAATGGTTCAGTGAAGCTTAATAGCTAAATAATTTCATGTTTAACGCAAGGCTGCGAGATACTTTCCATACCTGTTCTGTCTTATAATTACACGAATCGTGACCTTTTTATACGTAATCGAATGTTGCTCGGTGAAAACGTTTGCAAATATAAAATTCGTCTGATCGTGCGAGTAGTCAGGTCTGAATATTACTGATAAGCAAATTTCACTTCTCGCATGCTTTGGCGGACGTTTTCACCTTGCCACTTCCGGTTTGGTGCAGCCAACAAGCAGGTGAGTAAGGCCAATCATAAATCGTACGATCAGTTGCCCGATACCGGTACGCCGTTACGCGTTTCCGGGGTAATCGACTTACGATCCTTTTCTTGGTAGCAAAGATGCAAATGTAAATGTACCATGAACTATCTATCACCTGAAACTCCTTTCTCTCGTCAAAACATCGAGTCCATAAATCTAGTCGGATAGTGAGACATCTATATTGCAGGTTCACCTGATTTGCATGCCGCCAAGTGGAGACATAAATTGCAAGAAGAGCTCTCAGTATCACTTCGTGAACGAGTACCTCTACAAACCATTGAACTTGGCTGAAGCTGAGAACAAACCTAACGTAACCTTGAGATACAGTGAAAGATATTTCCCCGCAGACATTCACCCGGACGAACGCGAGGTTGGTGACTATCAGATTACTCCTTCTGCGCCTATTCGCCGTCCTACTCCACCAGTAAGATTTCACTAAAATGGTAGTACTTTGAGACTTAAAGTAAAAGGAGATAAACGCGAGATACGTATGTATAGGTATATGCAAGTCCTCAGCCAGCTACATTGAATAGTATTCCACCATCGGCACGTCCACAATCAACAGGTCTTCCGCAATTTCGTTTACCGGTGAATCAAGTTTTTCGTAGCCCAGAGGAAGTGAATATTCCTCTTCAACATAGACGCCCGCAACCACAACACCAGCCTGTGAGAAGATTCCCTCAAGTACGACCTGATGACGAAGAGTACGAATAAATTTGATCAGCATTCGTTTGATAATTATCATTCATCGTCACACTCATCGTCACATTTCTGTCGTTAATTGTATTACAACGGTGTCATCATGCATCTTGCGTTGAGATTACAAAGAAGAGGAGAAAACATTTTGGAATAATTATTATATTTATTCGAATAAAATATAGTTATAGTTCTATAAATTAATTGTAGAATGTAAATTGTTTCGCGTATTTCGTATTTTTATTTTGTAAAAATTCGTCGATTTTGTATTATTAATATTAATATGATTTGAGTATATAATTAGTATGTTAAATTGATTTACAAAATTATATTTATTCTTATTTCAAGTATGGTAATATATATGAAACCAACATTAGTTTAACAGTGATAACTAATAAATTGTTATTACATTACTTTTAATGATGCTCCTAACTTTAAAAATATCGTTATAAATATTTTTAAAAAGCATGTTTAATAAGCAAAAAATAAGGAATTTCAGGTTGATCTTTTTAATTTAATGTGACTTACAAATTTAAATAAGACGCGCTTAGATATGTATACGCGGAGAAATAGTCAACTATCTGCTTAAACGAATTACTTATAATATGGAATATATAAAAAATTTAACCTGTGTATATATGTTAAGTATAATTAATTAATATGATTATTTTTAATTTTTGAAAAGAATATGATAACAAAATTGATATATATACACATTTCTTACTAAAAAGAAACATTGACGATTTATTTTATATCACGTAGTAACGAAGATTGTAAGAACGGCATATTGCTATTCAGGTTGTGTTCTAGTGTATAGTGTTTTTTTTAAATTTTCCAAGGTATTTACAATAAATAAAAAATAGACAGATGAAAGAAATACAAAACAAGTTAGGATTTGTTTAATATACACTGTTTAATGAATTGAAGAAATATAAATTTTGAGTTTCTCTTGTTCGCTTTCACATACTTTCTATGAATTTCGCCATATTGTTTGCTACACTACCGCCTTCTGAAGTAAAAAAGTTCAGGGTTAGAATCAAGGTATTATCACTTCGTTTGAGTCATTTAATACCTCTGTGTATTTTTCTTATTTTGGAATAAATTTATGTAGTTTCATTATTTATTACACCCTTTACGTAAAGCACGAACAAGCTATACAGGTTTCATAGTGTCTACCTAAAAATCATTGCTGTATTTTCGTATACCATTAATAAACGACATTCAATCAAGAATTTTGGAATATGGCTGCTGCTGCTGCTGCTGCTCTACTCGATGAGCTCATGGGAAGAAACAGAAATGTCCTTCCCAATGAAAAACCCAAAGAACTTAATTGGGAAGATCCTGAGGCAAGTTCCTGAAAATACTAATATTCCGACAACAGTCATTAAGAAATTCGAATTTTCAAATATTGATATTTCAACGTAATTTTCAATGCATTCCTATTTTTCATTACAGTTTTGTAAATTGTATTTGGTTAAATTTTGTCCTCATGATTTATTCGTTAATACAAGAGCTGATTTGGGCGCATGTTCTCGAGTACACGATGACGAAGCTAGAGAATTGTTTGAAAAAGCTCCGTACTCGTATCGAAAACAACAATATGAAGATGAATTTATTAGATTTTGTCAAAGCATGTTGAACGAGGTTGAAAGAAAAATAATAAAAGGAAAACAACGATTGGCCCTTATTGGAAGGACAGAAGCGGTAAATAAATTTTAAACAATACTTTATGCATTTATTTTATTATTAGTTATAATATTTTATTATATACGTTAGTATAAAACAAATCATGGAGAATCTATAAATTGTTATGTATTTAGCCTACTTTAACACCAGCGCAAACTCAAAGAAATGAAGAGCAAATTGCACTTTTAACTGAGAAAATTAATAAACTAGTAGAAGAAGCAGAGCAAAGCGGTATACAAGGCAACGTAGAACAGGCTCAGGGCTTAATGAGACTATGTGATCAATTAAAAGAAGAACGAGAAACATTAAGGAAATCTAATGATAATAGCCATTATAATCAAGTAAATATTGTGATACTTGATATAAAATATTATATAAAAGCATAGCAAAACCTGAGATGTAATTTCTTTTTAGACTGCTGAACTAGCTGCTGCACAAGAAAAACAAATGGAAGTATGTGATGTCTGTGGTGCATTTCTTATTGTTGGAGATGCTCAACAACGAATTGATGATCACTTAATGGGAAAGCAACATGTTGGCTATGCTAGGTTAAAAAGTGCTCTGCAAGAAATTATGGTAATTCATCATATGATATAAAAAATATTTTGTAAATATTCTTCATTAATTTAGAGTTATAGTTATCACAAAACTAACTTTATAGAGTAAACGTGAAAAAGCTAGAGACGAGAAAGAACAGAGAAGAGAAGAAGATAGGAAACAAAGAGCACGTGCTAATGAAGAACTTGATAGGCGAAGAAGAGATGATAGGGATAGGGATAGAGAAAGAGATAAACGTCGCAGACGCGATGATGATAAAGGCAGACATGATTCAGGCAGTCACAGGTAAATTATTCAAATGTTTAGATTAATTATTAATCAAACATATGATAATTTCATAATATTAATTACGTTCAGAAATTCGGGACACAGAAGTAGAAGCAGATCAAGAGATAAACATGATAGACATCGAGATGATGATCACCGACGTCATGCTCGAGATAAAGGTAAATATAAAATACACCATTGCAAAATTTAGTTTATTAACATGTATATGTGACTTTTAGGAGGTCGTGATCATCGAAGCTCGAGTCATCACAACCGACGTCGCCATCGATCTAGAAGTCGAAGTCACAAGTAACTACTCTTGATTGGTTAGTGAGTGAGAAGTAAGCCAGGTATGCACTAAACAATATACCATATTCGTCTCAATTACTGTACAGGTTCTTTACCAGGTGAGTTTCATTAGATGCACATAATATATACATGATAATTATCTGTAATTTTGAAGAATGGCATAGTCACAGCGAGCCAGTATCTGGTCCTGCCTATTAATCGGAGAAACACTCGTACTAAATTTCATATGGACCTGTTTGTACAGCGTTTAATTTTCAAAGTGACGAGCTTGCTCTATGTAACATATTACTGAAAAACGGTGCATCGAGGTAATGTCGAGCAAGGAGTAGTAAAGTTGTTCCCATACGAAAGGTATTTTTATCATGTAGTATTATAGATATTGTCTACAGAGCAAGATAGGAGAAGGTATACCTATGCTTGCTTTGATCGGTATAATGTCTTCATAGGGTAAATCAATTATATAATTTCAACGACTGCATAGCTTTTTTGTCGAAAAGAAATTAGTGGTTTAGTGGAGGAAACAGTGCCTACTTCCGTAGACCTGCCACAACAGTGCCCTGTGTGACTGTGACTATACAATCCTAGCTTCTACTACGCATTTCTGAGGTATTTATATCGGAATGATAATACCAAACATGTCCTTTTATTAGGAAAGTTAGATATTTTCAAAATGGTGATCTTTATTTTGGAGCGATATTTGAGTGCTTAAAGTTATGATAACAAACTCCTGCTCTTACTTTCCTTATTCCCTGATTGCAATTTATTGGAGCATATTCAATTTAAAATCGAACATTTATCAATTAGTCAGGGAAATTCTCTTATAAGCCCAAAGGAATAATTTTAATAATTGAGTCTGAGATAAAAAGCCATAGTTTTTAAGATAATATATCATATGTATAGTCCAGAAACGTAAGATACACATATATAACAGCCATGTGGCTATTATTAATTAATCAGTAAATAATTCGGGATTATAACTTGGCATATAGTTGCATCGTCGTCTTTTGAACTTTATTTGTAAAAGTTCGAGAAACATGTATCATATATGATGCATATTGTTCTCTTTGCATGCATTTTTTCTCCATTACTTTTAGTTGTGAGAGATAGGACATGGCAAAGCTCAGTCAAATTTTTCTATCGAAAAGTCGTAATTCTTATAGTATTATGGTACAGCGATTTGAAGGTTGATGACAGGTCACGTGGAATGTGTCTTATGGTGCTCCGAGGACATCCCCTTTAATCATATCTTATCTTATTCTTTTACCGGGCCCTTCATTTCGGCTTATAGAAAACTCATACTTTATGCGCGTACTACATTTGTGTAACTCATATTGACTTGTAATATTATTCATACATTTAATAGTCTATTTCCTGAACCAACTAGATTTAAAAGAAAGAAAAATATAAAGTACCAAAGTAACAGCCGTAAATAAACGATCGTCTTGAATTGTTACATTGGGATGAGAGAAGTTTAGTTTTGGATGATTAGATAATTAATTTCTTACGAGTAAAATTTCTTATCTTTATCATGGTAGGTTTTCATTCCACTTTTATTTTATTCTTATGTTATCATAATATTTTGAAAATGTTTATGAAAAATTACTACTAATGTATAATGTATAAATAGATTTACTAAAACATTGTTTTGGCATAGTCAGAAGTCAAAGGGAGAAAATTTGTATATTAACAAGTATTTTTTCAACAGATAAATAACATTTATTCTATAACTTCTGCATTAATAATTAATATAATATAATGATAACATTATTTTTCATTTAAAAATTGACATTAATTATTTTTATTTTAACCTTGTGTAATTTAAAAAATTATTCTGTTTATTTCCAATGTCACAAACAAAGATGATCAATTTTTAATTATGTTATCTGCTTTCTCGCATATGTAGCCGACAGAAGTATGATATTTTTTTTTTAAATATGTTACATATTAGGACAAGGTTAACAAATAATATACAAACATGTTATCCTGCTGTTTGGTAACGACGAAATTAATATCAGAAAAAAGGAATAATAGGATCGTAATTTTTAAAAGTTGTATTGTCTATTTTCAGACAGAAGACATGCCATGGGAATGTAACCAATACAACAGGCTCACTTGCACACTGCTTAATATAATATTAAGGTAAAGATTTTGCATAATCTAAAAATTCCAATCATGAATTTTATACACTTGCGTTTGAGTTCACTTTTGCTGCATCGCGTTTTTTGAAGTTGATTGCAAAAAATCAAAACTTGAAAAATTGGATGGATATATAATTATTGTTGTCAATATTATGTTATAACATCAGAAAAAGAATTAAAAACAGATTTATTAATAACTTATTCATATTTGATGCAACTGTTACTTTAGGCTACGTATAAAAAAGATATCAAGGTAAATTGTCTATAATTTGCATTGTAATATTCATAAGATTGTTAATTAAAATTAATAAAACAGTACTGCAATGAAAGTATCAGGTTATTTTGAAAAGCATGCAAACATTAAAATAGTCAAAATTATAAACAAAATAACAGATACTGTACAATCTCTAACATTAAATTATAAAATTTATTAAATAAGTATAATCATAAATAATACATTATTGAGCGATAGGATATTCTATCTGAATACTGTACATAGTAGTAATATTTGCTATAATACAATTATCCGCTATAATCAAATTATCTTTGTACAAAATTAAAATACTGTACATCAAATGTAAATATTTGTATTGGCTGAATAACTTTGATTCCATTGTGCGTAAATTATTTAATTTCTTTAAAATTTTATGTGAATGAACACCAAAAAGTTATATTATTGAATAGAAATAATTTTATTTAAGCCCCATAAATTTTGTAACCTGAAAATAATATATTATTTAATCCGTGTGATTTGTTTTAGAATTGTCTTAATAATAAAAAATTGGAAGATTTAAAAATTTTGCTACCTCTTCGTATACGGTCCAAGCCATTGCAGTCATTAATGTCCTCCTCAACATTCGAGGAACAATGCCTTTAAAGTATCCTAACACACCATATTTCTTGTAAACCCTAAAAACTGCAACACGGACGTCTCTAAATTCATTAGGATATAATTGCATTTTTGTCTTGATTACATCGGCAGGTTGTGTTACAATAGAAGCAAATATTCCTGCTAATATTCCGCAACTAAAATGAATTGGAGCAGATAGTTTGGTGCAAACTATATCTAAAAAGAAAAAGAGAAAATATACATATATATTAAAAAGACAATCGTATTGCAAGTAAAGTAATATTCTTTTTTTATCCTGATAAAAATTTACCTGTTTCTGTGACAATATTTTTTAACTGAGTATAAAATGTGAGATAAAGTCCACTATAAGGAGCATCTCTTAATAGCGTTGGTACTAATCCGCTCGAAAGACCTCTTACTCCTTCCTGCTTGTAAATTAATTTCAATGCTTCTCCTACACTGTTATATTTATAAATTTCACTCTGTGAACACAAAGTCAATATTAAATTTAATAATTTCATGCAACTTATATTAAGTAGAATATTCTAGACTACTAGTATCAATGTTTTTATATCTAATCACCTATTTTTACTTTCTGTACATTTGCCTTTCTATGATGTAACATATATAGCATAAAAAAATGTAAATGTATTTATAATAATTACACGTACTTCAAAACGTGTTTTTACTACTGTTATTGGAATTAATAAAGCTCCAGACATAGACCTTGCAGTAATGCCTAATAACAGAGCTTCTGTAGGTGTGAGTGGATCTTTTAGATGCAATGTGTGCTTTAACCAGTGTAATGATGAAAAATACAATCCAACACCAGGTACTACTCTAGTAATTGACTAAAAAATTTATTGTAAATCAATATTTCTTATTGAGCTTTTTAAATTTAATAATTGCAAAAATTCTTACCGGAGTCATACCCCTCCAGAGTCCAAGCACATTTTCATTTTTAATTATATGAATTACTGTATTTAAAGTTCCACTTTTTGGAGTACTAACCATACACATTACAAAACAGCAAATTAGAAAGCAATTTTATATAAAATAATTAAAAAGGAATAATATGTTATTTTATACTTACTCGAGATGAAGATTTACTTTACTTTGAAGTCTGGTTTTAACAAGATCTAATGGTTGAAATAAAATAGTTGAAAATGTTCCAGATAGTGATCCCGCGACGAAAGACTTCAAAATAGGATACTAAAAAAATATATAAAAATGTCTTAATTTCGAAAATGCATTTAAATAAATCACATATTTCTAATTAAACATTTGAAGTACTGTACAAATGTATCTCTATTCATTTAATTTAAAATGATAATGTTTGTGAAAGATACCATACAATGAAATATGTAGATATTAATACATCAGTTATTGTCATTGTAATAAATATATGCCATATTATCTTGCACGAGTTTGCTCACGTGAATTATAAATTTCCTTTAAAAAGTCAATATAATTGTTATCTGTAAATGCAGTTCCTTGGGTCATCATTAACAGATATTACAAGATTTATTTTCTGATTTTTTCTTTTTTTTTTCTCTTACTATTTTCAAATTATTTATATTAATCGTGAATTATATCGAAAAATATGTACAGCAATAAACTATAACTATTTTTTATGAAAGAAATTTATTATATTTAATGTACATCATTTTTAATACAAATATTATATTTCTAAATAATCATTATTGATGTATCTTGTACTTTTATATTTTACTAAATATTAAAATTTTATTTCTATGTTTTTAAAATATTACTAAAATCATAAATACATTTAATTCTATAACAGTTCAATTCTTATGATAGTCGTAGAATAGATAATTTTTTATTTTCTTTTTCAGCTTATACTTGTATATTTGGGACATCAAACTCGCAAACTCATAATGCAAATGAACACAATGAGATACTAAATGGTGGATACTGCTCCACATAAATCATCTTCCATCCAGTACACCTCTTTTTCTAATTAGAGGTATTTTTTATTAAAATATATTAGTATTCTTTCTTTATTCATTTTATAATATAATCTTTATTAAAAAATTTTTATTTAATATACTTAAATGCTAATCATTCCAACATTTTTATATTTCTTACATAATATTAAGTATAAAAAATTATAATTAATTTTATTAAAAGAGAACTGTTGATACAAAAAAAATGTTAAATAAAATTTTTTAAATACAGCAGTAGCATCAAGTATAACAATATTTACCCTTATCAGTGTGTTTTTGATATCTTTATAATTACATTTGGGAAAAATTTTATTATATAAAAAATTTAGAAACAAAAAAAAAATGACAAAATTGGGGTACTTACGGTTCCAAAAGCTTCCATAATAAAATTTATTGGGAGCTTAAAAATGAGTAAATTTGAGATTGCAATAATAAATTTTCACAATAGCATAAAACTGAAGGGAAGTGTTTTCTTAATGCTTCCTTTAATGTTACCAAGATACTGAGTATGTTGAAAACGTGACTGTTACTTACATCTTCTTTTATCATCATCTCACCATGTTCTGGGTCAATAGAATAACCCTGCATATCAAAACATACCACAGCAAAAAATCCAAGAATATCAAACTGAAACGTGAATTAAACGTGACTTAATATAAAACGTGACTTAATATAAAACGTGACTTAATATGAAACGTGAATAACAATATTACATGATATTGAAAGGTATAGAAATTACAAAGTACGTTTGTTATATACATTAATTTTAGCAATATACTATTAAATTTGTTTATTTTTTATACAGCAAAATATAATTGATTATTTTATGCAGGTCAGAAATTATTTCTAAAAAATATTTTGAAAAGGTATTTTATGAATATATCCACTACAATAATTTTGTATTATTTATATAATTAACAATTGTATAATAATTAAAATGAACATTTATTTTAAATAATTGAACTTTTGTATACTAAAATAATGTGTGATAATAAAAATAACATATGTCTAGTTGATTAAAAAATATCTAAGTATTAAAGTTGCAACTTCTATTAGGTTAGAATTCAGAAATATACCCACAAACGACTAATATTTTATCATACTAAATTATATATTTAATTTTATTTTCTACAATAATATATTATGTATTCATCATGATTATATATTTTAAATAAATTATATCATAATTATACGTACTACGTACGTAATAGAAACACGTTAACAGATGAGTTATTGCTAATAATAAACAATGTTAAGTTCTATCAAATTATCAGAAGACTGATAAAATTTATTCTTATCTAAAACGTATGTAATTTTGTTTTCGATACTGTTAATATTGTACCATATTCAGAATTGTATGCAATTAATGACGTATTGTTTATTTTAAATTTGCGTTTTATGGTAAGAAGATAGTAAAAACAATTTATTGACAAATATTTTGCGACATGCATTTTTAAGGTTTACAAAATATAGTTTTTGATAGCTATTATATTAATTTTAATTGATGTGAATTATACACAAATTAATTTGATCACCTGATCATATCAGATTTATGATAAAAAGAAAGTGATAAAAAATAATAAAAAATATTAATCAATTTTTAGTTTCTTTCTACTAGTTTTAAATTCAAAGATATATTATTTTTCTTAAATTGAACTAAAAATGTTTTCTCTTATACATATGATCGAATTAACGATGTAAATAATTTTTCTAATCTATAGATATACTTATATATATAAGTTATAAATATTCTTACTTAATTTATATCACATTTTAATATTACTTAAACTATTATTATACATTAATATCTTTATGGAATCAAGTGTGTTTTGAAAAGCCCGCTACTTAAAATAAACCAGATTTCCTGTTTAAGCGCTGTATTCGCTTCGGAATTATAGCTTCGCAATGCCAACTCGGCCATTTCTACTTCTGTTACTGCTCGTAGAGGTTGTTCTTCGTACACATTTGAATAAGGTATGATATTTATTTCGAAATTATTTAAAATTCTATTTATTTTAATTGTAGTATAAATTTCTAAAATGTACTAATATATACTTTGCTTTGGATCTGTGTTAAATAAACCTAAATTTTTATATAAATTAATCACGTTCGTCAATATTCTTCAAACACGTGGTACGGAAAAGTTATGCTTATCTTATATAGTAATATAATGTTATAATAAATTTCTTTGTTTAAAAATTGCATATATACATGTACATATTTATAAAACGAAATAAAATTTTTATTAAATGTATATTAGGTAACGATTATACAACATGGTAAATGGAAGAATACCTTCGGTTTTCTCAAAAACCTACGTTACTCCCAGAAGACCGTATGAAAAGGCTCGTTTAGACCAAGAATTACGAATTATTGGTGAATATGGTCTTCGTAATAAACGTGAAGTGTGGCGAGTCAAATATACGTTAGCTAATATTCGAAAAGCCGCTCGTGAACTTCTTACTTTAGAAGAAAAGGATCCTAAACGTTTGTTTGAAGGTATGGAATAAATTGTTTTAAAAATGTTTTATGTAATAGTGGTTTTTCTTGAAAAGCTTTTTCATAAAAATAATTACAATGATGATAATATATATTTCTGACACCTCTTGTCTGATTATTTTGATGAAATTATTTCTACTGATAAAATCACATAATTAACATTACTTTTGTGTACTTCAATTATTGTTTATTAAAGTATATCTTTATTAGGAAATGCTCTTTTACGTCGTTTGGTAAGAATTGGAGTACTAGATGAAAGCCGTATGAAGCTTGATTATGTTCTTGGTTTGAAGATTGAAGACTTTTTAGAAAGACGACTTCAAACTCAAGTATTTAAATTAGGACTTGCCAAATCTATTCATCATGCTCGTGTGCTTATTCGCCAACGTCACATTAGGTAAATTTCATAAAATACATAATTTTATGTGCCTTAAAAATTGGGCAAGAAATATCTGATTATATACAGATTATTTCTAATCTTTAAGGCAATATTAAACTCCTGATTAATCACCAGATAAGGAATAATACTTATCTGGTTTCAAATCTGGTGACATAATTTTTAATGACTATGAAATAGATATTATTACTTTTGTTATTTTTTAATTAATTGTAAAATATAAAAGTAATAGTCTTTTGACTACTGCAGGTATTCGAACAATTTCCCTGATTGATTGTCCATTGAAAATAATAGAAAATATGTGACTTAAATATTGGCTGAATAATTGTGGTGCAGAATTGCATACTAATATTTTCTTTCAAGCAGGCCACTTAAGTGTTAGAAAACTGGCACTTAACGTCTGTCATACATTAAGGAATACATAGTCGTGTTAAAAGTAATTGGTATACAATTTACATATTAAGTAGCATCATAAATTGATATCTTAACGTGCTAAAAATATATAATACTGAAAAGTAGGAATATGAAACAAGATACACTTTGGTTACAGAGTGCGCAAACAAGTGGTAAACATTCCATCTTTCATTGTGAGATTGGATTCACAGAAGCATATTGATTTCTCATTGAAATCTCCATTTGGTGGTGGCAGAGCTGGCCGTGTAAAGAGGAAGAACTTACGTAAAGGAAGTGGAGGAGCTGCTCCCGAGGAAGAAGAAGATTAAATTATTCTTTTTATAATGCTTTTATGTAATAAAAGTATATCTTAAATGTTTAATCATTTTTGAAATTTTGATTTATGCATACCATCATTCTTCAATTAATATTTTTATTTTCCCTTAAATAGTATATTATGAAATTAGGTCATATTTAATATTTTTCCTGTTACTTATTTATATAGACACAAAATATTTGCTAATTATAATCATTAATTTAAATATTTTGAAATAGATCATAACAGTGATTTTATATTTTTTGTAACATGTATGTCATATTTAATAGACAATCTATATAAAAAGTATGTACATTGGATTATAGTCATTGTTGCGTTATTTAAAAAATGGAAAATAAAAATAACATTAAAAGTTAATTGATCACGCACTGATGATGATCGTCGGAATAGAAAGAAAATCCTCGATAATAAAAATTAACCAATTATTCATTTTCTCTTAATAATTTATAACTATAATTTTATTAGCTGTATTGTCAAGCTTAGATTTTAGGAAGCTTTTTTATGTAGGTTTAAGTTTCTTTTTGATCAATGAATTATTACCTGTTACATGTAATGTTTAAATTGTAAAGTATTTACTGTGTTTTAGTAAATTTGTAACCCCTTGAGATTAAGTTATAAATCACGTATTTGAATTGCAGGTATTACTCCATTGATTACTTTTTCGTATAATTTTTATTAACCTAACAGTTAACTAAACTTATTAATAGAATGTACGTAAAATTAAAGAATTAAATAATATTAACTTAATTTAAAAAATTGCTTTATAATTATAACTAATTTTTTTAGTAATATAATTAATTTAAATATTTATATATTATTAAAATTTGTAACCACGAAATAAGGAATTTCTTAAATTTAAGTAATAAATATGTATAAAATTTATTGTATAACATTATTGTACAACAAAATTCACTTTATTGAAAAATATAAAACACATAATGTATTGTATTATAAAGTATGTATATTAATAAATATATTTTTAATCAATGTTGTAGTCAATAGTATATGTGTAAAGATAAAGAATATTGTATTACAATTATGTACCATTGCTTTCAAATTTATGGTCAAGTTCAAAATAAAAAGTTTTCACTATAATTGGTTTGAACATAGCATAGGATGGTAACAGTGTTGGCAACATAACTTGTTGAAATTTGAAACTCAACGAGTAACGATAGTGCTGCCTTTAATAATGATTGCATAACGTTGAAAGATTTTTTAAGGCTTGTCGGTTCTGTCGAAAGTCGAAGTCTAGCAATCAGCTATGTTCAGAGTATACTTGTTGCACGCGGCGGAGTTGGTGTTCGGCGGTGGGGTGAGAAGGGAAGAAAGGGGGCAGACGAGAGTAGCAAAGGACTTTTGTTACGTGAACGTGGACTTCGCGAGCTTTCCGCAAGCTGGTGAGCGCGTCTCGATCAATTAGCATATGCCACTTCCTAGCGGGAATTTTGTTTCACTGATTGAATAAAGGTAATTACATGACAGTGTGTTATTATAGTATTATCCGGCGGCTGTTCATTGAATATCGTATACTAACAAAAAACAACCGAGTTCCGAGCCAAAACTTGACACGTCTTTTTTTTTATATTAAAGCGAGAGGCCGCCTTTCTAACCTAAATTCTAAATTCTGTCATGGATCCGTATTGCGGGGTAGGGTGAGGAGGGTGATAACCACGAATCTCCTTCTCTTTTTGACAGCTAAAAATACGGTTTTTGAAGAAACGACCGCAACATCGAACACCTCGACTATTTCGGATATGATACAGCATACATGCATCCTGAATCGTTTACGTAGCTTTGTCTCATAAAATGCGCGCTTTTTTATTTCTCACCGCATCATGCATTTCTGTGCGAGCTGTAATTAGTTATATTTGCATTGGTTGGTTAAAATTTCCATATCGAGTAGAAGCTATCTAATTGTTGTTATACATTTGCGATCCTTTTGCTTTGCACTTAAATGGTATTGTTTAATTCGTGATGCATTTAATGTATGACTTAAATATGCGGTTACTCATATGTACATTTTTAATTTTTTTTTCATTTTAAGTTGTAATTAAATGAAATTTTATTATATGTAATCAAAATTAATTATACATTTGTAGCTTTCATAAACGATAAAAAGTAAGTGTATAACAATAATTAAATAAAATAGTAAAATTTTAATTAATATGATTATTTATAATAAATATGCAAATTATATTAAGAAAATGATCAAAGTTTAATTTTAGTTTTTGTTATGGTCACTGTTATAAAAATACATTCATTCTTCAAAATAGAATTAATCACTACTTAAGTTTGAATCAATTGCTATTATTGTAGATCACACTCATTTTATGTCAATCTTATCTCTGTCATTGATATCTATATTGAATAATACGTTGATCAAAATTTAATCACCTGTATTTATTATAAATAGGAATAATAATATTTAACAAATATTCTTTTAAAGTTTTAATACAAAAAAAGATTGAAAGTATTTTTTATATATTTTTTAAATTGGTGTTGTAAAATTGACAAATTACATTTTCATTGTAACAAATATATCATTTTTAAAAACAGTAATTATTTTTATTTTTTTCTGAGATATCAATATTGTAAAAAATAATTAGTTTTAATGTTATTTATAATGTCATTCGTTTTACATAATAAAAATTATAAGATAATACTTGAATATTCAACTAAATTATATTTTGAATTTATGAATATAATTGATAATTTACTATTTATATTAACAGTATAAGTAAGCATATAATAATTCAATGACAGTGTTAGCTATAATTGGATTCATTATCGCTGGAATTGTTGTATAGATAACTACTTCCCATTTGATATAATTTTCTATTACCAATTCTTTGATCCAATGATTTTTTAAGAAGATCATACTGTTGTATAATAAATAGTTTGAACATACTTTAATATTATTTATTACATAATAAATTAAGATATGATAAAAGTTTGTAAATATTAAGTTTTACATATATAAGTAAAAAATTAACTATATTTAAGTCAAAAATTTTTATTTCATTTTACAGGATATACAACATGTCACATCATTTTGTCACAGTTTGTGTAGTTTGTGTTTTATGTGCTGCACATACACCTTGTTCAGCACATACTGAATTCTCAACAGCAGGACAAACAATTCATAATTCTGTTAATTCTGAAAAGCTGCTAGGACCTAATGAACAATTACAACCATCTTTGTTACTAATGAAATCCAAAGAAACACAACAGAAGGATGTGAAAAAATTAAATTTAAATAACTTAGGCGCTTATAATAATGGTGCTGTTAAGTTTTCTAATGTAATAAATAACAATAGTGGAAACAAAATTACTTTGCTGGTGCCAATTGCCACAAATGACATCCATATTAAAGAAAAAAATCCAGAAACTATAAAAATTAACAAAAACGTTCAAAATAATCATATATCAGTGATAAAGGAAGATTCTATAACTTTGAAAGATATAGAAATATTAGAAAGATTAGGACAAATTGAAATTGCACACAATTGTGAATTGAATGCAGTACACTTTGATAAAGATCAAAATCCTCTTAACAGGGTCAGAACAAAAAGAAATGTAGATATTTTAGATGAAAAATATTTCATGAAAAAGATTTTTGAAGCTTATGGAGATGGAACAAGCATAACAATGGAAGGTTTTGAAAAGTTGTTAAAAAAATTAGGTTTATTTAGATTATTAAAAGATACGTCAAATTTAGAAAATCATAATATTGTTACTAGTCAGAATGAAAATCCATTGGGTAAGTTTTTAAATTTATTTATTTAATCATTATTCAAAGTTAATTTAATAGTAAAAAAATATAAGTATATATTTAAAACCAAAACTTATTCCAAGATCATTTTAACTATCCTCTTATGTAGCTGATGTCAGTATATCACTCTTAATTACCAATTACCAACCTATCAATCATAATAAGGAATAAAGCTACATCTACTTTAACATATATATAAATTGATAATATTTTATCTTGTTTCAATATGAGAATCATCTTGATCATAATAATTTAGCTTAATATAAGAGTTCAAACTTCTTTCCAATTGACTCTTAGAGTTATTTATTAATTTCATTGAGTTGTTATTTATAACTGTGTTAAAATATATTCATGGTATTTTATGAAATGAATATTATTTAATATATATTTAAGAAAAATTAAGATTTGTTTTACAATTATGAATGAATAAGCAAAATTTGATACTATTCTTGTTGATTACATGAGCCTATCAGTGATTAAATAATCATATCATGTATAATATTCTGTATGTAGATAACTGACATTTTTCTGTTATCAGTGTCTTATATTACTATATGATATTATCTTCTTACTAAATTATACTGTTTAGCCATTTTCTCTTAATATAATTTATTTAATGTATGAGTTATTTGTGTTTTTATATTAAGTAAAAGTAATGCAAATTGTTTTGTTCATATCTTTCTATTTATATAGTATATAAATTCATATACGGATCCTTTTATTATAGACAAGACAAAGAATTTGCAAAATAATGGCCTACCAGAGCATGAAAATGGGGTTCAAAGGGAAAGGGTAGGCTTTATCATGAAGAAATTAAATAAATAAATTTTTTATTTATATAAATAAATATTTTTCAAATATTTTACTATTTCAGTGCTTAAATAGTAAAGAATTGTTAAGTACTGTTGCAAGAGATATGCCATACAATGCGATCACTAATAATAGTTCTACATTACCAAATTGGCTTTTTGAACGCGTGTGTCCAGCTCTTGTTTACCAACTAGCAGGTGAATCAAGCTCAGAGAGAAATGGATGTATTCGTGTACCAGAGAATTATAAACCATTAACAGTTAATAAATATCTTGGAGAAGATGTAACTCGTAATATGGTTCAAGGTATACAATCAACATAATGTCAATAATATTATAGTTCATTTTAATTAAAACATTGTACAATTCTAAGTATATGACTTACCTATTTAGTGTGGGCCTATTCAACAATCAGTATTCTAATAATCAGTCTTGGTGGTTTACTTGGTGTAGCTGTTATACCTTTCATGGGTAAAGTTTATTATCATCAATTATTACAGTTCTTAGTTGCACTTGCTGTAGGAACATTATGTGGTGATGCTCTCATTCATCTTTTACCACATGTAAGATATTACATTAACGATATTAACATGAAGGAAGCAGATTATATTATATAATATATAATTATACATGTTTATATAAAAAAGAAATTATTTTTTTCTTAGGCAATGATGTCACACCATAGCCACGAACATACTCATCATGACCATGCTGAATTAGATTATAAAGAACAACACAACATGAATATGTGGAAAGGGCTAGTTGCAATGATGGGTCTTGCTTTGTTTTTTTTTACGGAGAAAGCTCTAACGATGTTAGCAGAATGGAGAAAACTTCGGCAACGTCGTAATAAGGCAACTATTACATTTAAGGCAAAAACGAATTTTCACGATACGTTTATAGGATACATATACCTTTCAATGAACGAAAATTTTGTAATTTTAGCTTTCGTCACGTGTTCGAGTAATGAGAGAAACTGATGGACCAAATAGTAATGTTGTTGGAGAGAAACTTTGCAAACATAAATATTCATCGTATCCATATTGTTATGGTGAAATTAGCACAGATGTTCAAGGTATAATGCTTTGATTTATTTGTAAATTATACATTTTTTAATGTTTTTAATTTTATGTTTTGAGCAATGTTAAAAGGTATAATTAATCTATCATAAAAAGGATATCTATTATCCAGATAATCATCATAATCATCAACATAATAATCATGAAAGGCCTCCTGTGATTGAGGAAGGAAAACCATTAACATCAAACTGCAATTCAGTTTCGAAAATTATGACGAATGATGTAGAGAAGAAACCAAGCGAGGATTGGAGATTAGATGATTCAATTGTAAATACTAAGAAAAATGCAGATGCAGCAGATATACCATTAAATGAATCAGAAAGTTATACTGTTATTATACGTGAACATGAAACGGAACATCATGGTCATACTCATTCGCATGGTATTATTTAATTGCTCAATGCAATGTATTATTTTAAACATTAATATATTTTATGAATAATGTAATTTAATAAATTTATTTAGGTCATGTTCATTCTGCACCTGAATCTATGTCAAGTGTTGCTTGGATGATAGTAATGGGTGATGGATTGCATAACTTTACGGATGGTATGGCTATAGGTGCTGCTTTTTCAGCAAATATAGCAGGTGGTTTTTCTACAGCAACAGCTGTATTTTGTCACGAATTACCTCATGAAATAGGTATATTAAGTAAACATAATTTGTAATACATACATCATTTTATCTTGTAAAGTGCTTTGAATTTTTAATTGAATTTTGTTTCTTTCCTACAGGTGACTTTGCAGTTTTATTAAAAGCTGGTATGAGCGCTAAACAGGCTGTCTTTTATAATCTGTTATCTTCCATACTTTGTTTGTTTGGTATGATATTTGGTGTATTATTAGGGAGTACTCCTGCTATAAGTAGTTGGATGTTTGCAGCTGCTGCAGGAATGTTTATATATATAGCATTAGTAGATATGGTGAGTAGTATATAGTATATGTAATTTTTATTCAATTAATTAATCGTAATTATAATTGACAGTTAAATATTCATTAGATTCCAGAATTATCTTCAAGTCACTCTGCAGAACGTAGCTCTCAATGGCAATGTATTTTGCAAGCATTAGGGCTATCATGTGGCCTTGGAATAATGTTAATTATAGCACTCTATGAACACGATTTTAAAAATATATTCAGTGATTAAATTTACAAAGACTGACAACTTTTTTGAACGATGGTAAGCTTGCAGTGCTTCCTATAGATCTATATTTATAGTCAACAGTTTAGTCAATAAAACTGTGACTGTGCACTCTTACCGAAACAATATTTACTGTTACTATAATATAAAAAATTTACTTTTTCTTCTCACATTTAGCATAAGGTTTTTTATCAGTAACAACATAGTGTGTTATTAAAAACTTAAGAAGGTACTATACTGGAATAAATGCTAAATGTTCTACAATGTTAAGAGTATTCCGTGCACAAGAACAAATGAGTTAAACAACTTGAAGAAAGTTAGATAATTCAAATGCAACGACAATATTTGAAGTATACTTATTAAAAAATTATATTTGAGATATTGCGTTCTTTGAAAATAATAAAGACAGTCAGAATTCAAGCTAAAAATTGAATATTTTGCAATTTACTTGATAGATTATTATAAAGATAGATAATTATAGTGAATTTTTACTTGATAGTTTTTTATATCTTATTATTAAAATCACATCAATTTGTGAAAATGCCATGCAATTGTTCTAAGTTTATTAATCATAAATGATGCTTGATTTATAAGAAATATTCTTGTAAAAGTAAATACTACTGAAATTAATATAAACAAAATTGCGTACAAAAACTGAGCAGCTATTATTATATTGACATTTATTTTAATTAAATTTAACTGTTTTTATATACAATGTTGCTGTTTTACTTTTATATGTAAACTAAATATACATCAAAATGGATACATATTAACAGTTAAAAAAATTATGCATTAAATAATAACAATCTGTATTATTTCTTTAATTATCAGATGCTTGGCATTTACATAATATGTATGTGTTTAGAGCTATCAATGTATCAATGCCCAAGTTTAATTGTGATATATTTAATGATTGCATTCTTTATTTTGATACAGTAATTTAGATAAATATCTTTTAATTGAATCAGTGTTATACGTAATTCTATCATAAATGTATTATTGAAGTTAACAAAGTGCTCTATATGCTTTACAATAATTTTAAGCTGGAATAGATGTATGTTAGTTGAATTATAAAATCAAAAACAAAAAAACAGTGGTATCAAGTCAATATCAAATTATAGAAAATTAGACACCTATTGATCATATATACATTTTAATAAGTTTACAAATACGTTTGTTTTTAAAAAACTTTGGTGCTCTTTTCTTTCAAGTTGTTTTATTATAATTACTCTGCATTTGCACAAAGTTTTAACTATTGTATTACAAAGAAAGTGCATATATATAAGTTTGTGTTTCAGTAACTAACAAACTACCAATTAAGATGATTACTGTTAATGTCACAGCATATTCTAGTTTTGTGTAACTATAGATACGCTTGTGCACAAAGTAATCTCATTAAGTATGGACACAGATAAACGAAGGCGGTAAATTGCCATTTATAATGATTGGATATATTGAAATTTTAAAGTACCCTCATACTGCCACAGTAATTATCAATTATTGAATTGGTAATTACTTACAATTATATGTACATATCTGCATGTCGTAAGATAATACATGATTAAAACTTAAAAGCTAAATATTTTTAGCTGTACTTACGTAAAAAAAACGCATCCATAATTTATGATTGCAAAAAGAGCTGAAATATCCTCAATTCTCTAAAATTATATTGTAAATAAAATTTTGTTAAATGTTATACTATTATTTCTACACACTGCATTTCTTGTGGTCATTGTACTAACAAAGTGTAAAAATTATTTTCAAAATATGTATGGTGCACTTTTTTTATTACTTAAAAATGTACTGTTTAAACAACCAAATTATGATAAAACTTTATCTACTTATTGTAAGTTACTTACAACATTTATTTTATTTGTATGTTAATGATTAATGCCATGATCAATAACAATGTATTTTTTTACAGAAAATGTAAAAATTGAAAAAAAGCGTTATATTCTTGTAAGCGAAATACTTTCTTAAATTACATCTTATATTAATACTGGTGTATTTAACTAAATGATTTGCGCTTTTTGTAAAAATTTAAATGCTAAGTATAAACTAAGTATAAAAGTTAGTTTTTGGAAATATGTTTATATATTACTATATATCCTGAAAGATTTTAATTTTTTTTACGTATAATATAAATAGAAATAGAAAATTTGTTGTTTTTTTAAAAAAAGGGAATGTTTTATTGTTTTAAATTCATTGTTTTTCAAAATCAATTTATTCTTATTTGCTGTAATAAATTTTAATAATTTCATTAATAGTTAGTTGAAAACACTGTACTTAATTCTTTATTTGTAGTAAAAATTATATATTCCTAAGTTAACTTTAGCACCAAGTAAAATTAATATTAAAAAATTTCTTTAAAAAATAAATTTTACTTCATTTAATAATCTGAATGCAAAACAATATGTTTAATAAAACTATGTGAATGATATATAAAGATTTTATATACTATATAACACTTAATGTATAGAAAGTGATATTAAGAATATAAATCATGAATTTTAGGTGCAAAATTTTTTTAGTTTATTTTTATAAATTATATATTTTATATCACTATCTGTTACAATATTTATATTAAATATACTTATTATTAAGTATTTAAGTATACTGTGAATTATTCGAAAAATAGTATAATATGATGGGTGTAATTTAAAACTGTCATTTAAGAAGGTGATTCTTGTTTTTATTTTTAAATCTCAATAATGAAAAAATGGAAATCACATATTTACAAATCAAAATGATGCTAGTAATTGTATATATACAAATACACAAATCTATAAATTATATTAATAATATATTCTTTGCTGTCACACAATATGCATGTCTGAATTCACATGTCTTTCTTAGCGTTTAGGCACTTAATATACAGTTAATAATACAGTCGAGTTGAATAAAATTTGTAAGTAGGTGTTGAATTGTATAGTTTTATATAAATATAGTTAGTATAATTACGTAACAACAAATATTAACATTCTGTGATTTTAAATCATAGAAGAGTTTATCACACAGAAACAAGATCATCTCTATCACTCATCTGTGCTGATAAACTAAATGCTGTATCTGTGCTAGCTTCACTATTTAAACTTTCATTAAATACTGGTTTCATGTGTGCAGCATCGCTCATCTCTCTCATTAATCCCGCCATATCATCATCTGGATCAATTTCTTGAATTTCACCTACTACATCAATTTCCATAGATTGATTATCTGTTGTTGATATTTCCTGCGTTTCAGGTTTTGATTCTTTAAACTAATAATTATGTAATAAAAATAAAATTAACATTATTGTATTACTTTTGTTAATACTTACACTACAAAAAATACTTATGTAAAGTCTTACCTTCATAGATTCTAATTTACATTCAGATGGTAAATTCATATGGAACACACAATTTGTATCAAATATTACAGGTACTGGCTCATGACACTCTATATCTGCTCGAATTGCTCCACATGCTTTAAACAAAACTTGATGTTGATCCTGTTAATAAAATATAATTTTTTAGGTTTATATTATATCAATAGTATAACTGAATATAATTATTTTACTTTTAAAATATGTTTGCGACAATGTTTTGCAGCAGGAAGAGTTCTCTCTCCACATTTTACTCCACCTTCTGTAAAGATACATTTTGATATACTTGGTATTTTCTGTGTTGGTCCTTCAGTTGCCTGCAATATAATAATTTTTATTATTATCATATATTATATTAATATTACCTATTATATAAAAGCAAAATATTTGTGCTTTATTTACCTGTGCTCTACGTTCTAAGGATTTTCTATATAGTATTGCTTCAACTCCGCTTCGTCTATGATAACGATTTAAAGCTTTTAATTTTTCATAAATCTTCTTTTCTTTTGCAGTTTCTTTTGGTTGGTCATGTATACTACATAATGTTTCCTTTTCCTTTTTAAGTGCATGTAAATACTTTCGTCTTTTCTCTCTTAAAATATATTGTAGTCTTCTAAACTGATCTATGTAAAGTGATTGTAGCCTAATTAATTTTTCTCTTGCAATGTAGATCACCTCCTCAGCAGTAAAAATTCCAGCATGCCTTAAAAAATTAATACTAATGATTCAATAGAAATTACTGTTTCATTTTTGCAAAAAGCAACTACGAAAGGCAAGTAAGTCAAGATAATGGCAATTAATGTAATTTCAATTTTAAGATTTGCTCAAGCCAAAGCAAGCTAGCTGATGTTCTACAAGAAGGAACAAAACAATAAAGTATTATAAGTATTCATATATAAGAATATTCTTACTTTAAAGGATCTTCTTGTGCACTATATAAACTTTCATTATCACTGTCATCAAGGTAACTTCCTCTTAATGTATCATTCACCATAGTAGGTTCAACATCACTATCAGAAGAACTTGCATAATCCAAAATATCACATCCACTTGCATTTACTTTATATGCATCAACTTCAGCTAAAAGGCAAAAGTAATAGTTAATGCAAAGTATAAAAATCAATTCAAATATTTTAAAATCAGTTTTAATTTATTAATAAAATAATTAAATCACGGCTTACTGAAAGGATCTAATTGTTTCATTTTTCCTTCTTCCTCTTCAGTATCTTCAGTACTTGAATCTGCTTTCTTCACATAATGACTTAAATTAAGCAAGAGCATTTCAGGTGTTTGTGGTAAAGAATGTCTTGCTGTTGATTTTATACGTGCTATTTGAGCTTTCCTAGCATGTTCATTGCAATATCTATAAAAGACAGATATTTATATATAATTTAGAAATTGTAACATTAAACAAAATTCTTTAAATTTAGATTCAGTACATACGAAATATCTCTTCTGTCCAATTTTGGTGCAGGATTTAGACATTTTCTTCCATTAGTATTATATACAAAACCACATTGTTTAAATGGAGCATTTGAATCCTCAAGAATATGTTTAGCACAATAACTATATCCCTCAAGGCAAACTTGTGTGCATTCATAAGATGAATATAAACATGTTTGTGTTTGTTTTGACTTCTTTGTGGCTACAATAGTCACGGGCATTGTTGTTTTTGGAATACGGAACATAACTTGCCTATTAAAAAAAAAAATAAAAATTATAAAAATAAAATTAATTTCCCACAATAAACAACGAAACCAAAACAAAATAATTGCATAAAAAATTAAATAAAATAAAAATTATATCAATTTATAATTACAATTTCAAATTTAGCGCGATTATTAACGCCGGAAATCAAAATGATTTCATTTATTTTACTATTTCAAAATAATTTGCAAATTAAACAATATTTTATATATAAAAAATTATGGTATATATAAAATATTGTATACATTTGTATTTATATCTATTTGATAAAATACAACTATAATATAATACGTATTTGTAACAAGTGGTAGCTCGCCGCCATTTTATACGTGAGATGTTGAATGAAGTCTCATTGATGTATGTACGGATTTCGAAATAATGAGGCGGACATGTGATTGGTTTTTGTGAAAATTGGAATAAAACGAAATAAGCGGGACTTAAAAAAGCCGCGAAGCATAATTTTTTTAGAAACTTACTGTGATTTCTTACATCAAATCTTCTAAGAAAGAAAGTCAGTGCCAACCAATTTACGCTTGTCACACTCTGCGTACTTCTGGATATTTCAAGAGAGAAAAAGATTATATTGTGAAACGTAAAATATTGGCAGTTGTGCAGTAAGTCTGAAGTTGTATCCGAATAAATAATAAATACTCGAAAGACAACACTGGATCCTTCGATAGGACGAAGATAACGGGACGCTACTACAGGGGTAACATTGGCTGCGTGCACATACTACTAGCTCAACGTCGGTTGCGTCACTTCCGGGAGTTTAAAGCTCAAAAGTTCTAATTGATAAACTACGTGATTCATACCTATCGTAGACTGAAAAAGTTCAGGTAGGTTATGACGTTGGTCGTAAAATATTAGCCAAGTTGAATTTACGTTACGCACGCGTGTTTACTATTAACTAATGCAACGTGTTCGCAACAAAGAATTATTTATATTTATTTCGTATTAAATGATACAAATTTATCGTGTACGTCGTGTCGAAAAAATTACAACTCCTTGTGCAACATAACGACAATATTTTATAATTTTTTCAAATGAAATGGGGTAAATTTTAAACGTGCATAAATTTATTACACATAAAATAACCTTAATACCTCAAATATAAGATATTACAAACTTTTTGTTTTGTTATTGTAATTGAAATAACCAACCTCATGGCCTGCCAAAAATTCGTAAATCAAGTTTATTAATGTGGTGTATTATAATATAAAAATGAAAAATGATTGCGGAAGGTATTTCCGTACAATAATTAATGCCGTATATAATTGATTATTCTGCAGACTTAACATGTACCGAGTTCTAAACTATGATGCATTTACGGTCGAGTTTAAATTTGTGAAAATCTTATCGAAATTATAAAAGTATTTACTAATTTCACTTAAAAATGCAACGATTCTTATGACAAATCTTAAAAATAAATCTCGTTACTGTGATGCATTATTGAAAAGTTGACTTTATTAATTTATTATAATTATTATACGGAAAACTTATTTTGTAAAATATTAAACGAATAAAACGTCCATAAAATAATTTTAACGATATTTCGAAGTTTCGTATTAACCTGTAAACTACGACAATTTAATGTCATAAATACATAGAAGTACCGAAGTCTCTGAAAAATTTCTGGAGCTGATTTTTCTACTGCATGATCTGCAGCAGTGCTGTGAAGTTAGATACGAACCAAATGATTTAAAATAGGAAGATGCTACTTCCGGAATTCAAAATGGAATCTCTACATAAAGTGCAAGTTGCATAAAATAAACGAGAAGTAATTCATGGAAGAGACAATTGAATATTTATGAATGAAGTTGTAACAGCACTATAAAGATATTTATTTAATAATTAATGTGTGATTATGTTTTACTGTGAAAAGTTCCACGAGTATGAATTTGGAGTGGAGTTTCCGGTTAGCGTAGTGACGTGAAGTTTTCAACGTGTTGCCGTTGTGCATTGTGTGCTCGCCGCCACCGTCGCAACCGCCGTGAAGTGCGCATCGTTAGTACCGAGTTGTGTGTACATATAAATGGCGGCTGACGAAAAATGGTACTTTACGAAAGAACAGCTTACAAACACGCCGAGCAGAAGATGCGGCATCGACGCGGATAAAGAACTGAGCTACCGGCAGCAGGCAGCGAATTTCATTCAGGATATGGGACAGCGGCTTGTGGTGTATCCTTTTAACGAGTGCATGTTCAGTTGCGTGTTTCTGAACCTCCCTTTCCCCCTGTCCCCACGATCATTTTATGTCCGTTTTATGCTTTATATTTGCTTAGATCATTCCAAATTATTATATTTAATTATTTGATTGTATTTCTTTTACACATTGACCTTTTAATACTTCAAATTTTTGGACGAATATGATATTCATAACGTGTTGTAAACATGAGTGACGTGCGAAAGAAGAGGTCACGCGTCATGATTACGATTCTCCATATTGAACTTCATTATGTTAGCCTTAGTGTATAATGAATTTCGGAATTTTTGTGCTATTCAACACATTCATATTGATCATAAAATAGTGTAAGTGAATGAAAGTGCCCATCAAAATTTGGTTATCCAAAAGGAGGACAGAGAATAGGGTCATGGAAAGGCAGCATTGTTTGCCAAGCTAAGTTTTACAGTAGTACCAACCAAAAACCACAATTTCTGCTTATATTTTTTATGCAAGTATATTATTTCATATAATTTATATATATGTGTGTGTGTGTGTGTGTGTGTGTGTGTGCGCGCGTGCGCATGTGTGTATATATACATACATACACACACATCATATATACACATATGTATATATATATATACACACGCGCGCGCGCGCGCGTGTGTGTGTGTGTGTGTGTGTGTGTGTGTGTGTGCCCATGTGTGTATGTTGTATGCGTGTACGTTTAAAATCAAATCAGGACGAAAGCTTATTTACCAATATCATACTATTACACATTGTCACTATTTGATTACATGGTGAATATAAAAAGTAATAGTTTACTTCAGTATATTTAGTATATGTTAATTTATTACTTAACTATGAACTTTACATAATATTTTGTGCATTAAACTTCAACTAATAAAACACATTTTTTACATTAAACTTATACTAATAATATTTTAGAAATGTTGTAGATATACTTTTACAATATATCATAGAAACCATTTCTGTTTCCTATACATTTGTTTTAGATATATATTTGAAAATCATAAATGTCTTAATTATCTTACCAGTTCTGAAAAGTACAATATAGTTTTTATATTATTTTGAGTTTAAAATTTATGAATATGAAACCTACTTTGGAAAAAAATCATATTATTGAATTCTAGTTTTACATTTCTGTAGTGCATGTATAATAATACCTGTATTAGATAAAGTACATTAATAATATTTAATACATAGTGTAATATTTATTTTTTGTATTGTTCTATGTTTTGTATTGTAACATATTCTGGATTCTTAATTTATATATTTTCCTTTTAATAAGGTAACAGGAAATCTAAAATATGAAAATTAATAATGTGATAGAAAGCATAAATGAAGAAGATCTTAACATAAATAAAGTATAAATAAAAATCAAGAGTATACATCAAAATTATGTGATTTATTTGATCAAATTCTTCATATTAATGTAACATACAGATTAAATAAAATTTTTTACATATAATGTACTGTGCCGTCCATTTTTTAATCTTACCATTTAATTTAATAATTTAAAAATAATCATTAAGTATATTCTCTTACATAATTTTGTTTTTTAGTTTAATCATTTTTATTTATATTGGTTATTATGGCATAGTTGAGATATTAGATATTAAATTTTATAAATATGTAATTATTACCGTAATGTAAAATATTGGATGTAATATATCATTATTTTCATTATTCTATTTATTTACATATTAATTAACTATACTAATAAATAACTTAAACATTATTTTTATGTTTATTTGATATAATTATATAATGATACATTTATGATAAACTTCAAAATATTTGAGAGAATATTTTTATTTTATATAAGCTTTAATGCGGTAAGATCATTACATTGATCGATACTGAATAGCACAGAAATTCTTGAAGTGAGTACTATACTATATAAAATAAATAATGAATATACAACATAAAAATAAGTATAATCTATTAGTTATTAATATATTACATTTTGAGTATATTCCTTAATTAATTAAATATAGGTCACAATTATGTATCAACACAGCAATAGTGTACATGCACAGATTTTATGTATTCCACTCGCTGTCACATTTCCACAGGAATGCAATTGCAGCAGCGGCACTATTTTTAGCAGCAAAAGTCGAAGAACAACCACGCAAGTTAGAACATGTTATCAAAATGGCACACATGTGTCTCCACAGAGATCAGCCCCCACCTGATGTCAGATCCGAGGTAAAATATCAATAATTAATATTATTATTAATATCAATAATGATATACCTATAATTAATGATAAATGCTATCATTGAAATTTACTTTCATTTGTAGCAATACCTTGAGCAAGCTCAAGATCTGGTTTTCAATGAAAATGTCCTACTACAAACATTGGGGTTTGATGTCGCCATTGATCATCCCCACACACATGTTGTTAGATGTTGTCAACTGGTTAAAGGTATATAAATTACATTTAAAATCTTGTATAATATGCATCTAAATATTTTCCATGGTTTTTATCAAGATATTGGTATCATAATAATAAGTTTAAATAATAGTGTAAACAACAAAGTTTTAGACTTTTTAAATATAGTTTACAAAAAATTGTATTGAATCATTGCAACTTTTTTTACAGCGAGCAAGGACTTAGCCCAGACTTCATACTTCATGGCATCTAACAGGTGGCTACACATTATTTCCTAGTATCTCTTACTCTTAGCAGTCTTCTGGTCAAATAGATGCCAGCTGGAGCATATTTCCAAGCTAAGACTGTCAGGCAATAGCCACTGGCGCAACATTCTGACCTATTTTCTTGTTAGAAAGCAAAGTAAACGTGAAATAAAATTGTACAAATATTTTTTTGTAAATAATACAAAACTCTATTACATGGTACATTCTTTCCTAAAAAGGAGCAAAATTATTTAATCATTTATATGATGACAAAAAAAGAAGAAAGCAAAGATATTTTAGGGAATGATATATTAAAGAAAATAAGACAAAAGTTTACTATAGGAAAGTTTACTTTGATTTCATACTTTTTTTTTCTGATTTCTAATGCGAATGTTTAAATGTCAACAGTAACTTTTGGGGAGGAATGTTGCGTTGCAGTCGCGGTAATGTCTGATTCTAAAGAGAACGTATGCCAAAGCGAAACGAAGTTTATTTCGTAAACTAAGTTCACGATGAGGATTGCTTAATTGAAGGTAAATGAAATATTCTTAAGGACTGATCGTTTTCTCTTACATTACGGTATATTGTCCAGTTTTTATTTTTATATTTACATACACTTATTTTTAAGCTGTAGATGCACAAAGCAAATTAAGAGTGAGTGAAATGAATGTGGAAGTAGTGTAATGGCGAGTGAATGTTCAAAAACATTGAATAATAAAAGATGAATAATTAGATTATATGTTACATTAGTAATTCATTATGGTATGGACACAGTCTGGTTATAATCCATTCAAATATTATTTAATATTTCAAAATAATATTTGAACAGGTCATACAGAGACTGAATAATTAGTGTAGATTAAGCCTTAATCTATCTCTGTTGTTATAATGAAATTTTTACCACTTTTTGAACATTTGTATTTTTTTTTTTCTCATTAAAAAATTTTTTTCTCGTTCTTCTTTAGTAAAGATATATTAAATGTATAAGCTATTTTATTTAATTTAAATGACACGTTCTCTCGAATATAAAAAATGTTAGAAATTCTGGTCAATTTAATTTGCAGTTCCAAATTTTCATATAGTTCAATGTTATTAAAGAAAAATTTTCTCTATCATGGGATTATGTTGGGGCAAACTTCGGTAAATTTGTTACGATACAACAGAGTGTTGTAGGGCTTACGTTTATAATTACCACTTAGAAAACTGTCGCATATACTATATTGATTTAGTTAATAATATTTCTATAGAAATTTTTGTGTAGCTCATCACGAAAAAGTATTACATTCATACGTACTGTTTTTTTAACTGTTTTGGAAACGTACTCTTTGGAATTAAATTCCGTCTACGGAAATTGTAATTGGAAATATTGTAGTTAATTATTTTCAACGAATCGTAAGAAATTCGTCCTGGTTTTATCCCGATATTACCCATGTTTAATAGAACTAGTACTTCGTTTTTATAGTACAGTTCTTTTTATGCCCTGGGTTATATTTCGTCAAAAAACAAAGTGATTGAGAGGACTGTTACTGTTCTCATGTTGATTTATAAAAGAATTTTTTCTTTTCAGTTTGCATTTGACAACCATGTGTCTGCAGTACAAGCCAACGGTAGTAGCCTGCTTTTGCATTCATCTCGCGTGTAAATGGTCTAATTGGGAGGTGCGTATTATTAATTTTATTCCTTAATAAAACAATTGTTAAATTATTTTATGTTTAAGTCATTTTAAAAGAATTTTTATTATAAGAAACAAATGTTACTAATTGCAATATTATAATCGTTCATTTGTAGATACCACAAAGTACAGAAGGGAAACATTGGTTCTGGTACGTCGATCGAAGTGTAACATCTGAGCTTTTACAAGAGCTTACAGCAGAATTTCTCCATATATTTGATAAGTGCCCATCAAGATTGAAAAGAAAAATAATGAGCATATCTGCCAATCAGAGTCCAAGCATAAATCATCCTAGTTTACCTAATTCACCTTTTGTGAGTACTTTTATCGCTATATTATGTTAAAGACTATAGAAGTACTTCCATCATACATTAAAGGTAATACAGAATATTAAATTTATTAGATAATTTTACTTAATGTCTTATGCAGGATGCGGAACCTCGTAAGGTACAGTCTCCCGCGACGACGGCCGATGGTGGACCTACATTCCATACGAGTCGACCTCATCAGACGGAGAAACAAGAGGAAAAGAAACAAAATGTTCCTGCATCTGCGAGACCACCAGTAGATTATCGGGAATATCGAGAAAAGAAAGAACGTGAGCGGTTAGAAAGGGAAAAGGCGTCGGCTCCAACGACGGTTGCGCAAAGTCACGTGTCAGATATTAATAAGCATCATTCGCATCACCATAAACCTGTATCTAGTACAAACGTGCTGAACAAACATCCATTGTCTCTTGGACAAAAGACACTACACCACAATCATCACCACAGACCAGATATAAAAGTTGGACAACCGGTAACTCAGAGGCATTCGAGTAGTACTCAAGCTAGGGAACCAAATCGCGATCCCAATAGACAGAGGTTACAAAGAGAGTACAATTCGAATACTGGTACAAGTAGCAGTAGTAGTAGTAGTAGTACTCTCCATTCTCACAGCCATGTTGTACCGAAGGAACCAACTTTGGATAATTCTTTAACGGATTCCACTACTCACAGACCAGATGTTGGAACATTACAAGATCCAATACCTCATGGAAATATACAGGAAAAACTTAGTAATAATAATCATAGTGTGCACAGATTAAGTGGAGTAGAAAGTAAACATCAGGGTCATGATAAAAGAATGTATGATCCAAGACATAAACCTGTAGAACATAGAAAAGATAGTGAACAAAAGCCATATAAATATCCAGATCCAACAAGAGTTGACCGACAAAGAAAGTCTGACACGTTGGAGCAAAGGTGTGAAGAGGTTAGGAAGCTTATCGAAAAGCCATTACCTCCACCTAAACCAACGCTTGACGTACCGTATATTTCGAATACGCAGAAACCATCACATCATACAAAATACAATCAATCAGAAAAATTACAGATTAGTACTAGCGCAATTTTGACCGATGTAAAACTTACCACTAACCAGAGTTCATTTTCGCAAGAAAAATCTCCTAGTAGCACCAATTCGACTTCGTTGCTTACTCAAAAATCATTAACTTCGAAGACAGTATCCAGTCAGCATACAGCTCATGGTGTGTCTCAGATATTAAAGGATACAATTAAAAATAGTAATTCTCAATCGTCAAGTTTAACGTCTTTAAATAATCTTGATGATGCGAAAACTGAAAAGCGACAACGGCATGATGACATAGAGAAAAGTTCGTCCGATACCCAACAGAGTGTATTACAAACCCCCCCTGGTAAGCCCAAATCGCTATTCAGTCCAGAGAAAGTACCAACGCCTCGAGAATCTCATTCACAGAGGCCTAAGACTAAACAAAAGACGCCGCCCTCGGCTGCAAAAGTTCCTAAGCAAGAACGTGTACCAGATACATCGATAGGTTTTAATTTAGTATTACCTTTTGCAAGCCCACCGGGTTTGCAACAACAAGAAACGCAGCAAGCTAAACGATCGGCTACCGATGTTTCTACAACGTCCCATAAAAGGCATCGTACGGGTAGTACAAGTGAAAGTGGACAACAAGTGAAAGTAAAATTGGATGATACTTCTAGTTTCGAGGCTGCTAAGATGCTTAGCAGGGTACCAGAACTGATACAACCTATTAGAGATAATCCATCGGCAAACGGCAGAGCCACGCAAATCGCAAATGACATGAAACCACCGGAACTCATTAAACCATTTGACACGGAACCAACGATATCACGTTTTAATACAATATCGACGCAGCAACAGATCTCTTCGAATCCACAGGGTTTGACAAATGGATTGGATACTAATCTGGTAAAGCAAGATTCGCAAGAATTCCAAATTAAAAAGGAATCTTACAAGACAGATATGCCGATAAAAGCTGAACATTCTCAGATTAAAGGCGAATATTTATCGCCAATGAAATCTGCTCAAAGTATAAGTGCTTTACTTCAGGAGCCTTTAGCACCCATGCCATCATTATTGCAAAATATACAGCAGTTTAGTCAAATACCGCCGCAACAAATTCATCAGGAACAATTTCAACAACAACAGTTGCAACAACAACAGCACCAGCAACAGCAACAGCAACATCAGCAACAACCGTCACTACAGCAGCTTCAGCCACCTATATCTCATACAATATTACTTACGCAACAGGAACCTATTCAAAGTCAATGTTTGCCTCTATCATCGGTTAGTGAATCTACGATAGTTTCGACCGTTGACATAAGTGCTCTCTCTGGTCCTATACAAACTACTACAGAATCCATTCTTTCCGTACCAACGTCTACTACTTTAACCGTTGTACCTCCCGTGGAGGAAAAGAAGTCGGAACACCACAAAAGTGAAAAGAAGAAAAAGAAGGAAAAGCATAAACACAAAGATAAGGAGAAGAGTAAAGAGAAGCACAAACACAAGCATAAAGACAAAGACAAAGAGAAGCATCGGGAGAAAGATAAAGAGAAAGGAGAGGACACTGTGCCTGCGGTACCTATTAAAATTACGATTCCTAAAGACAAATTGAATTTGAGCACAGAGTCGACAGGAAGCACCGGAGGAAATGCAGTGCCAACAGATAAAAATAAATCCCCCCAAAATACAAGTATCAAGATCATTATTCCTAAGGAACGACTGAAAGGTACGGATAGTGTCTCGAGTTCGCCGGCTCAGTCTGTCGTTCAGGCTCCATTAAAGATCAAAATCCGTACGGATGGGATCTCGAGAAGCTCTGGGGCCCCTTCGACGACAAGCAGTTCAAGCAGCATCGTTCCAGAGTTCACCAACGAGAGTCGCAAGCGCGAACGTCCCGATATGAAGGAGAGTCCAACGACTAGTGTTCCGCCAACGAAGAAGCAATCGCAGGTCTCCTCGGCGGGTTACGGACAACATCGACCAGGCGAACGGCAGAATGGCAGGCATTATAGTTCAGGCAGCAATAACAAGGTACGTGGAGGCGGTAGAGGCGGCCGCCAGTATATCGGGCGTGGTCCACCACCAGCAGGATCGGCGGGCCATTACAGTGCTCCCGGCCAGCGCGACGGCTACTATCAGCAAGACACCTACAATAGTAACAATGCCCGTAATCCGCATCATCCTCATCCTCCCTCCGCTCGTGGTGATCCAGGTTACTCGAGGGCTGGCCATGTAAATCAGTCGCAACCGGATCCTTATTTCTTTAATTACCCGCCGCCCTCGATGTTCACTCCCGCCGGATACATTTATGATCCTGTTATGTACTATTCGCAATATCAGCAACAGTACTCAATGTATCCGGCGGGTAACGTTATAATGACACCTGACGGTGCCATTGATACGTCTGTACCGCCACCGTCTTTACCACCGAACATGCGACAAAATCAAAGCATGATCCCAGTCGCGTCTGCTCGGCAGGAATCCAAGACGCCACCACCGTTGCCGAGTGGACCTCCTCCTAGTTCCTCACCACCACCACCTCCACCACCGGAATAACGTTCGTACGGAAATCCTGTCTTGTAGTGGACTTCAGAGGTAGTTTCCAAAGTAGAGGTAGTAACTGCAGCCACTTCTTCCTCCATTTTATCATTGTTTTACTTTTTCTTCTGTCATCGTTACTACGTCTTAGTTTAACTTTCGACACATGTAATTGAAAATTTTTCGTGCAATATCTTTTTGTCGTACACGAGTTTCTATCACAATTCATTTTCATGTTTAATATTCATTCGGTACAAAATATATAACGTATAATCGTTAAGTATTTAAGTGCTTTCGTGTAAAAGAGATCCATTAATATCACGAACCTTGGCAGGTTCTCTATTTTAAGGGAAGACCATATTCTTTGGGGAAAGATACATATGAAACTGGGAACCGAGGAAAGGAAGTGGCTGGAGATTCCCGTAGAATCAAACTTCGATCTTGAAGGAATACACTTTCACCTTGCCTCTATCCTCTCTTCTTCTCCCTTCCAGTTTGTGAATGGTAGAAGTAGCAGCATGACATCGTACGATCTCTATTCCCCTAGTGTTACAAATTACCATTTCGATCTTTCCACCTTTGTACCTGTAGCGCATCTCCTTAGAGTAGTTAATGAGTGTGAGCCTTCGTTCAAGAATGAAACAAAAATTTTGCGAGGTCCTCGTGGCCTCGGAATCACGAAGACGACGATGTCGTGAAATGACGTGCAATGTGTAGGAAAGAAATGAAACCGGATTCGTTTTGTTTGAATTAAGAACGCTAAAAGAAGTTCTTCAATTACTATTCATTGTCGAGTGAATTATTTGATTATACTTCGAGTAAGAATAATTATATCTTATAGAAGATATATAACTTTCGAGAATATCGACAATTTTGTTTTCGAACAACTTTTTCCTTTGTTAAAAAATAAAGATAGAATCACAAAAAAGAAAGGAAAAAGAACAAACGAACAAAAGAAATCGTTGTCGTGAAGATATATGCACGAAACACTGCCAGATCAGAAATGAAAAGGTAACTATGTTTTGCGCTCATGGTCAAACGTCGATAGATTTTAATTAACGTATGCTCAATATTGAAAAATCGAGAAAAAGAGAGTAATCTTTCTCGATCTCTTTCTTCTCCTCCTTTTTATGTATCGCGGTAACGATAGTCGAAGAGTAAATCTTTTGCAATGCTACTTTGACGATCGAACGAAGTTCGTTGGGGTAGTTGAGAAATTCCTTTGCTGGCAAAGGGTTCTGGAAGAAAGGGTGGTGTGCAGAGTGTTGCGTTCACGAAATCAAATCGTCGAATTCGAAACGGGTAAACGGCTAGAACAACTTACGACGTTACTTAAAAAAGAAAAAAAAAAACACGAAAAAAATAAAGAAAAAAAAAATCAATAAAACAAAACGAAAGAAAAATAAAAATGAATAAAAGAAATACGAAAAGGAAAAAAGAATAAAATGTATCGTATGCAGTGAAGTGATGAGAGTGCTCAGAAAACATAAGTGTATCATTAATACGAATTTGAAAGTGTACGCATTTGTAAAGCTATATATAATTTTGTTGAAACTAACACGTTGTATCACATTGTCACTGTTTTTATACGCGGATGAATAATATTAACAAGATTCTTTCCGACTAACCCTTTGCAGTCCAATTTATCCGTTTTGCTGCTTCGTGTCAGCCAATCCAAATTTCGACTGTGCTTTCTTTACTGACACTTTCGATACTTTATTTTCTATCCTTATTCCAGCACCAAAATTGGCATCCAACTTAACTTTGCATATATTTTCAAACAAATTTGAAGAAAATCAAAGTACAATGCGTGGTGTATTAACATTACGATTCGCCTAGGCTGTTCGTATAATATTCGTATAATTCAGAAGGAACGCAAAGGGTTATCATCGCAGTGTTCTCCAGCGTGAAATACGAAGTTGCATTAGAATAGCAAATAGTTTTGCAAGAACGAAAAAAGAAAAAGAAAAAAAATAGAATGTTGGCGATAAAAGAAAACGACGACCGCTCAAAATAAAATGCGACTTCCGTATTACTATCTTTAGTTTCGCGACATTCTACTTCTACGCCATTCTCTTGAACGATGTCGATACGTTTGTACGCCTGTTTGAAAAATATGGTGCAGATTCGTCGAAGAAAAATTACGAATGATAGTTAACGATTAGATGGAGCCGTAAAGTGACGGTATAGAACTTTTGCTCTCACTGTTAGTATACGACAACTATAGACTTGTTAATAACGCGTTATTCTTTTCCATTCGTCTCTCGTGTCCGAATTAGTACACGCGGTCATAATCAAAGTCTGATCAAAGGAATTAGTGATTGATCATTCGGTTAAGGTACAAATAAGGCGAGCGATGCTATCTTGTTGCGATTTTGTAGCGATGACGTTATTCAATTCGGCGGGTTTATATCTCTGATGATGTACCGATCATAATCCCGTAATTCCATTATTGGAGATATAAGTTCGATGCAGAAATCCCGCTGGGGTATCGCGCCAAATGATCAGCGAATTTCAAATCGAGTAAATTTTAATTACTTTTCCCAGACTGTATTTATATGTCAATTAGCCAACAATTTTTCTAATTTGTATATATTTGTCTACAATTCGAGCGAGTTAAGGCCGCCATTACGCGCGTACTGCTGCATCCGCGCAACAAAATGGCGGACCGACGAAGCTTAAACCAAGTCGTACGTTCCTCTGCATTGGATCTTATACTTTTAATAACGAGATTGTCCTTTCGTGTACGTTGTATCGTTAGAAACGTAAATCTGTCGAATCTCGTAGCGTTGCAAGTCGAAAATTGGAACGACGTTGCATCTCTTGTCTGTATCGGGCCTAAAAAGTCAGAGCAACGATTTAACGATGCTTCTTTAACCCTCCGTATCTAGGCTGTTGTGTTTGCGTCGAATCAGTGAGCGTGTTCTCATTGTTAGCTCGTTTTTACGATTCAATGGCATTTTTGCGAATTTCGAGTAGCTGTACTATGAATGTATAAAGGAATTTTTTACGAACTTTTATAGAGTAAAAGACGGCATACCGAGGGTTAACGAGACGAAAACCACGTATTAAGATAATATTTAGCTCTTTTTGTTTCTTACACATTGATGAAGAGATGATCAGATTTTCACGTTAAGCTCGCTGAAACGAAATGGTCCATTATTCGAGCGACTAGTTAAGGAGTTTCCTACCTAAGATTTTATTTTTTACATTCTCTTGTACAATGCTTCGAGCTTTGATCACTGAGCGTCTTAAGTGTATGTAGATTGTTTTTATATTTATTTGGAGTAATCGTGGCGCGCGTAGGTGTAATTTTTTTTTTAATTCTTATCAATACAATTCACGTCTTTGACAATATATGTATATTATATATGTATAATATATATATATATATATATATATATAGTATATATATTATATGTGTATATATATATGCAACAAAGTAAGAATAATCGTTGATATAGAATGGATATTATCTCAGGAACGTGTCGAAAGAGAGCGAGAGATAGTGTGATTAATATATTAAAAAGAAAAAAAAAAAAAGAATATATAATCTATTAAGAATGCGTTTATATTTACATAAAATATACACTCACACACGCACGCGTGCATGCGTGTATCGTGTTTGCCATTGTGACGGACAAAAATTTATCATGCAGCTAGCGTTAATGGCTCATCGATGTCATTGTTGTTATTGTTATAATTATTGTCACAATTAGTACCTAGTATTTTGAAACTTAGACCATTACATGTGTACTGTGTGATTGCTATGACCGTTGCCTCTTTTTTAGGCTTCTCAGTGCAAAATTCTGTATTCAATTCTCTATCATTTGAATCGTTATTTAGCAAGGACGGAGATTTAGTAATTTCGTTATTCTAATTTAGAGAGAGAAAAAAAAAAGGAAAAGGTATAACAAAAAAAAAAAGAAAAAAATAAATGAACAAGAAAAATATAATTAATGAAGTTTCTTTTCACGGGAACGATTCCGCGTGTGAAACAAGTGCCGTGAAAAAACGATATATAACGTGTATAGAAATTTGCACAAGAGAAGAAATTATTTTTCAAAGGCACGTGTATACTTTTTAAAATCTGTCGTGGGCCTTTCTTAGGATTTTGTTAACGAACAATTTTCGCGTATGCCTCGGTCGCATCGGTACAAAGTACTGAATCGTTCAATCGAAATGTAAAACGATATGAATTGTTTCGAAGCGACACGAAATAATGATAAAAACCGAAAAAAAAACATTAAAAAAGAGAGAAAGATAAAAAGAAGACAAAAAACATTCAGGAAGAATGTATGGCAAAATTTTTATTTTATTATAATTACCGATACACACCATTTGATTTACTTTCCATAATTTCTCCTTTAATGATTATCGATTATGGCTGATGCACGAGTTTAATTGTGCAATTTAATTTCCATCGGCAAGACTACAGCGATTGTACAACGAGAAATATATTTTTACTTTGATTACCAGAAATTAGTGTATTATTTGAACAATGCTTTGTTCTTCCTGAATACGTATCGATTATTAAACGGAAAGAACAAGATCCTGTTAGCTTTAGCCTTAATCAAACGATAAATGTAATCGAAACGGTATTGTAAAAATGATGGAAGCGTGTAGGATTTGCGGGATCCGTGTGTGATTTTGGAAAAGAGAAAGAAAGAAAAGGAGAAAAAAAAGAGGGACTACTAAAACCACGGGAAATTGACAGAATCGGCCTAGTTAAAATTGTGCAATTGTACAAGTCGTATGAAGACAAAATAATTGCTAAGGTAAATTATGTAGGTTTTGTACTCTCCGATAGTGAGAAGTTGAAAGAGAGTTATAATATATATTAATATATTAGTGATAATAATACAAGCCCACGCATGTGACCAGCGATTGACATGAGTGATATGAAATTTATGAACTGTTCAGCTACAGAAGAGGAACACGAGATGTGTAACATTGCGAACACTGCATCAATACTGTACACAATGTATATCTACCACTTGTCGCGTACGTTTCCTGCAATTTTCCTATACAATAACCACCTGCGTTCACGAATGTGCGTGTTGGTAAAATTCTCCGAGTGTTGCCCATATGAATACGCTTAATGGATTTCGAAAAAAAGAAAAAAAAAAAAAGAAAAAAAAAGAAAAAAGAAAAAAAAAAAAAAAGAAAAAAAAAGAAAGAAGGAAACTTCATTCGTTAAAAATCATAGATACCCACGGTATTATCTTTGTAAAATACACACCGTTCAAACGATGTCTTTTTTTTATCTCTATATGTGTTACGCGTTCGAAGAGCACGAAGATAAACCGAAGGAAAGAAGTCTAAGAGAAGAGACGAACAGAGTGGACTCGCTACCTGGCATTGATATTTCTGTGCTTGGATCGTCCGGAATCGTTGATTTACCAGAAAAAATGCAGGTGCTTATACATACATATATACATATATAATATTATATATAATATTTTAATTTTATAAAAAATAATATTATATATAATTTTATAAAATTAGACTGTTATAGCTCACGTTGCGGATAATTGCATACATAATTACGCCAGGAATCGTACGCGTCACGTGTTCGACCAAGAAAAGAAATAATCATCGGAAATAAACGTTCTGTGGAAACGAAAAGTACCTTAGTGATTATTTTGTCTCTTTCTTAACACACCATACAAAATATATGTATGCATATACGTATACACGGTCTGTATGTATATACGTACATATATGAATATATTTTAGATATAATATCGCACACCATCTCGCCGCATCTTTTTGTGTACTAACATTTATATCACAGCTATCAGTATGTAATACGATTATTATCATGTGTAAAGGTCTTCATTATACGTCATCATACGTGGAAAATAATGGTTTCCAGTATATAAGAGTCGGCAATCGAAACACAAAACATGTTATTTGATTTTACTCGCTTGGTGGAGGGTACTGATGATGTCTGCCTACATTATTGTCGAAGCGTCGATGCTATTGTTGTTATTGTTGTTGTTTGTTATGAGTGTATTGTGTGCGTGTAATTTTGCATGAGCATGCGCGCGGTAGCAAGCTTTCTGTGTCGTATGCATGTATTCAGTTTTTAAGGATTATGCTTCAATTTGCGTTTCATTTAATATCTCACGGACAGTAAGAGTACCTTCTAAATTTGGGAAGACGATAGAATGGGGTGCAATCAGCGATATCATGGCATTTTCTTTTCTTTCTTTTTTTTTTCTTTTTTTTTCTTTTTTTTTCTTGCTATTCGAATCATTCGATCTATTTAATCCACCTTTATTTCGATACCATTGAATACACGTAGTATTCATTTGCGATCCATTATGATTATTTCGATTTACGTCGTTAGAAGCTTCTACATATGTCATTCATTCATGAAGTTACTTCACGTACGTTGCTCTAATTCTTGGTTGATCAAGTCCGCAAAATTGGATTTCAGACGTTCTTGTGTCTCATGCTCATTTGCGATATTCTTTCTCAGAGCATCGACTAGGATTCATAATTAATTTAACTGAATACCTGTGATCCATTTATTAAGCTATACAAACACCTGTCGCGTGTCTGAAATATGCATCGAGGAATACGTTTTCATTCATAATTTCTAAATTATGCATCGTAGTAAAAATTGAATTGCAATGTCTCACGATACGTACCGTAATCAGTATGTTTGATCAACTCATTAATATCAATTTCATTAATATTAATACTTCTCGTTGAATTTTCGTAATAGGCTGATGCAAATATAGCGTATTCCTCATCTGTTTCTTTACGACCGAGATAAGAGAGGAAGCAAAAGTATGGAAAAGGAATTTCATCGTTTAACGATGATCAAGTCGTTCCCTAGGATAACCATCGCAAGATAATTATAATCTTCCAAGGAATTAGAGAATTTATATATGCGTTTAGTCAAGGAAAAGACCTAAGAATTGATTCTATTTATTAATTCATTAATTTCTTACCTTAGACATGTTAAAGAGATGGAATATTACAGTTCTGTTTGTATTTTCAGGAGAAACACACGTCTAGCCATCACAAAAGTTCCAGCAAGTTGTCGCAATCTCAGCAGTCTCACGCATCGTAGTATCCGGACATCGCTAGAAGAGGATGTCGGTAAAAGTCTTCAGGAAATCCTCCGAATTAACCTGGTTTGATGTCCACTGAAAGGAGGAATTTATCTTGTTATGCTTCTTCGTCCTCATTGAAACTACATTGAGACACGAAGCGATACAGCTTTCATCGTCGTCGTCGTTGTCGTCGTCGTCATCGTCGTCGTCTTTCTCAGAGTCGTCCCAGTTAATCGAGAAGAAAATGGATCTTCGCGGCTATCTATTTCAAGCAGCCCTCTTTAACATTAACGACGAGGGAAGATTTTTGCGGTGAACATTTTACACATGGCTGTATCGAAGATGAGAATTTTAGAAAGACGCAAGCTTGGCGCCTTACGTTAGCCAAAGTTTAACGTAAATCCATCAGCGATTTATGCTTTCGATTAGAGAATGAAAAAGAAAAGAAAAGAAAATAATATTCTTACTCAGGTCAAATTAGATACGCGGTAAGTTAGGAGGAAAGGAAATTTTACTTCGTCCTTGATCATCAGATTATACGACTGATTTTCATTCTATTTGCGATCTATATACGTCATTTTTTTTTTTCTATCTTATAAGATATGAGACGAATTCTTCTCTTCCTCGACGTTCAAATATCCGAAAGAATACGTCTTATATCAATGTAGCCCTCAGGATCAATTTCAAAGTTCTACTCGTACGATATTCTACGTCATTCATATGTAAATGTGTAGTATATCACGTACGATGTTTAAATGTTATTTACTACAATCGTCTTCGTTTTTCAACGATTATTGTAGGAACATCTATCGTTCAATAGAACATAATGGAAGATAAAATATTTCGAATTAAGAGTCAATGTTTTCTTCACTGTAATGGAACTTGAGTCGAACTTCTGACTTCGTTTCGAGGGCTAATATTATTTTCTCCTGTCTTTTTATTTGTTATTCCATTCAACTGCCACATTTTCCTTTGTATCGAAGAACGCGAGATAATGCATCGTCAATCTCACAGCTATTAAATTGTGATCGTCGATCGATTCGTTAGACAGGGACGTTGTCAGATTCGAAGCTCAACTGAGCCGAATATAAAGTAAACATTGTACGTTTTACATATTAGGTGACAAGTTTTTCTTTGTTATTCAGTGGATTCAAGAACAAAATGCTTTGTGCGACGTTCTTACCTATGAAGCGAAGAGATGCAATTATCGTATTGCTTAATTATACATATTCGTTATCATTTCAATAGATCATTTCATTTCTCTTACATTCATGATGCATTTAACGAAGTTTCGTTCCTTACCGCATCTTCATACTGTTTCTTTGAATCAATCAAAATCATACAAAAATCAATCCATTTCTATGAAAGTGTAGAATGCGTAGTTTCATAATTGTTAATGGTACAAGTAGTATTTTAGTGACCCACCTTATCGATTGTTCTTTAAAGATCAATTTTCTACAGGTTCGAATGTCCCTAATAAACGAATCGTTTGTGCGAAGCGGTGAGCATGTACACTGAAAGAAAAACTTGGTCCATGTCCAATGATATTTATTCGTGCCGTTTTGTTATGTACATAGCCGAAAAACCGCATAATATAGTAAGTAATTCGAATTATACTATCGCCACTTAGTATAAAGGACTATAGATAAACAATTAATATTATTGTCAGACTGTAAATAAAATTATTTTGTATGCCAAAATAAACCAAATGAATGACTCGACATACTACGGTTACACAATCGCGTTACATCACACAACGTAAGAATACATATTAAAAAAAAAAAACAGAGAATGGTACAAGTTGCAGTACGCGCAATGGTATAATAAAAGACTCCATTAATTATTATCTTCACTCGTTCAAAAAATAAAGGAAACATGCGTATATTTAGCGAACACAGTTAATACTCGATTCTATTCTCTGTAGGTATTATTTTCTAAGAGAAATCGATAATAGAATTATACTACCGATATATTGCGAACGGCCGTGCGTACTGTATCGAGAAGAAGAAATGTGTTATCACTGGTTTTCACGCATATTTCGTACTGAGCATTTGTTGCGTTATCTTAAAACGAGCAGCTATAATAATAATATTAATATTAATATCAATTAACTTTAAATAACGGTAATTATAATAACACCAACATTGATAATTGTAACAATAAGAACGCTAAAGGTGAACGCCTCTATCGTTTGTGAACTTTCAAACAATTCACGCATAGCCATTCTTCGTCGTTCTTCTTTTATGTGCATATCGAAGGTTGCACCGAGTTCGGAAATGTGTACGGAAAAATGTATTTATTGATTAAATAGTAAGCCGATCGAATGTAACTTAGATTCGTGGATCGTATTCAACTATGTCAAACGCCTTTGACACGTTTGTTCAACGAAAAGAGAGTAAAACAAGAACAAAAGGTATGTTAGCAATAAATGTTCCGACGCTCCTCGGCGCGATAAAATATCATCCGCTTGTCGTTCGTCGAACAATATTGCAGGAATATTTTTCATTCTTATTACGATAGGTGAGAATGACGAGCCTATTTTATCGTGTCGACTTAATGTACTGTCCCGTAGCCGAGAGTAATTAAAAGTTCTACTTAGAGTATTATAGGTACACATTATGTATAACATTATTGCCTCTCAAAGAGAGTGATTGCACCGTGCATTTCTTCGTTTCAACACGTTTCACTTTAATCTTTACAGAACGATAGATCAATTTTTTAGTATTCTCTTGGCTGTGTGGTACAAACGACGTTTATTGCTAATTATTTTCAATTAAGCGAATATTTCAGCGTAATAATTGTAACACAACTGTTTCACCATTTATCACAGTTCAGCGACACGGAGAGAGCGAGAGCAAAAGAGCACGCGCGCGCGTGTGTGTGTGTGTGTGTGTGTGTGTGTGTGTGTGTGCCTGTCCGTGTGCATGAGTGAGAAAGAGAGAGCGAGAAAGCGAGAGAAAGAGCGAGAGCGAAAGAGAGAAAATTAATTACGTAGAATTTCGAATGAGACGGCGTCGGAACGCACGGCATTGTTTTATTGAATAATAATTCGTTTGTCGACCAATTTTTTCGAAGAACGAAACGGACTCGCTTGAGATCGTTAGATAAAATTTAGCTATAAATCCTCGATTAGAACGGAAATAATATGTTTCTTTGGAAACAACAGCTTTCGTTTCTTTCTTCGAAAAAGAAGGATTAAACAGAAAACATACATGAGTTCAATCGAGGTAGAAAATGAAGGAGTTTTTTTAAAAGGACGAACGCGAGATAACCGAAGAAAAACCGTGTCCGCGATGTAAATAAATTTATTCTTAAGGACTTAAACAGAAATGACGATTCGTGGAGAGTGTATACTTATTATTATTATTATCGTTTGCAAGTCGTGCATTTGTATTTCACGCGCATGCCACGGAGCCTGCGTATCGTGGATACACGCTCGATCCGGAAGTCTTTAGTCGTGAGAAAATTTGTTTGCAAAATCAACAGTAATTTCGTATTAAAAACTAAATTATGAGCTGTACAAAGTTCATTTCAAATGTATTTTAAGTATGGTATACTTTTTTTCCTTTTTTATTATTATTTTTTTTTTTTTTTTTAAGTAAACTCACCTTGATGTTAAACGAGTATTATTACCTTTTTTAATTATGAGTGCAATTGTTATTTCATAATGAAGGCTCAAGTTGGACAAGCATGCTTATCTTTTTAAAAAAATATGTTTTATAGAAGACATAAACTCTTTGTTTTCTCTCTCATGACTGATGATTTTCGAGACCCGAGTTAAGCTTGCCTAGTTTCAGGCGGCGTTAAAAGTTATCCTCAATAAAGAGAGAAGCAAAAGAATGACTAAAACAAGTATCTACGTGACTTTTCTTATTTCACCTTTTCATATTAGAACCATGTACTATTTGATTTATTTAATGACCTTAAATGGTACTAAGTTACTTTATTTTGAAACTAGTCATTTTTTGATATTAGATATTTGATTGAAACTTTTTCACTATTATATATTTTATTTAAAATTGATTAAAGGAAAAAGTGATAAAAATTATTTATTGTTTGCTAACTTTTATTTCATGAAAAGTAATCAATATATTTAAATGCATAGAAAATAATATTAAAGTATATCAATTTGATGAATTTTTAGTTAAGAGATAGTATCAATTATATTAAAGATGGTATATTATATTTATATGTTACATATGCTATAAAAAGTTGATCAGTTATTTTATGATATTTACATGTTATATTAAAGTTATCTATAAAACACTATAAGTTAATTCTTCAAAATTTAAATTCACGCGTGCGCATTGTCTCAAGATAAATTTATAAGTATCTTTCAGGGTGTATACTACCGTCAGTATTCGTGTATCAGGGTCGTACGTAACTGCGAACTTATGACTTTATACGTAGATTTCAAGTGTGTATCATTTGTTTAGGGTTAAGAAAGTACATGTTACTGAGTATTATATAGAATTATTCGAGAAAATTATTTTGAAACATCAGTATACACGACTTTTGCTAAATATATTTTATTTTTAATCATCTGACATTTCTACTAGAAACAGCAGGTATTTTCTTGTTCTAATTATTAATTTTTTAAACGACATCTTTTTGTACTTGACATATAAGTGTCACGATTATCTTTTTTTTTAGAATGCTTTAAGATTAGAACTGCTTTATTAATTTTAACAATCAATTGAAATGAAACTGTTCATAATTTATAAATTTTTATTCATTTTTATAAATTATTTATAATTTTACAGAATTGTACTAAAATTTATCTTTATTGATTTTAGGAATGAGTCATATTAGGAATTTCTGTAATACCATATCTTGCTTAAACACTTCTAATTTAAAATCACTGAAAAGAAATATATTAATTAAAAATGGATATAGAAATGTTCATCATTTGTAAGTATTGTTATTTTACACATAGAAAATGTAAAAACTTATATGCTACAAATTTAGCAACTATATGAATATTAATGTGAATGAGAAATGGTTTAGGTGTAAAGTATTAGTAGTTGGTGGTGGTACTGGAGGTTGTAGCATGGCTGCAAAGTTTGCCGATAAATACAAAGATCCAAATCAAGTTGTTATAATAGAACCAAATGAGGTAAAATCTCTTAATCTTATAGTTAAAACTTTTAATAATGGTAATATGTAATACGTTCTCAAATTAAATAAGATATTTTACTATATAAACTATTATGTTTTAGATACATTATTATCAACCAATGTTTACTTTGATTGGTGGTGGCATAAGATCTTTTAAAGATTCAAAAAAACTAATGAAAGATACTTTACCAAAAAATGCAAAGTGGTTCCAAGAAAATGTAATGAGTTTTGAACCAACACAGAATCAAGTGACTATGAGCAATGGAGATAGTGTACAATATGAAATCATGATTGTTGCAATGGGTTTGCAATTGCATTGGGAAAAAGTGAGGTTGGACAAATTATTTTATGTCTTTTAACTAACAAATATAAATTAATTTTTTATTTTATATATGTAGATACCAGGTTTAGTGGCAGGTCTCAAAGATAATATGTCAGGAGTTTGTTCAATTTATGGATCTGATACAGTTGTAAATGTGTTTCCAAAAATTGCAAGAACTGAGAGTGGTACTGCAATATTTACCTTTCCAAATAGTCCAGTTAAGTGTCCTGGTGCACCACAAAAAATTGCATATATTGCAGAGGAGTACTTTCGAAATGTATATATAATTATATTTTCATTTTTTCTAAATTTATTAGTATACATATTATAGTTTGTATTTATTTTTTTAAAGCAAAATGTACGCGATAATGTAAAAGTTGTGTATAACACTGCTTTACCAGTTATATTTGGTGTAAAAAAATATGCTGATGCACTTTGGGAGGTGTGCAAACGAAGAAACATTACTGTTAATGTTCACACTGCTCTTACAGAAATAGATCTATCTAAGGAAGAAGCAGTATTTCAAAAATTAGATGGGACAAATGAAACGTTTGTTGAAAAAGTATTTTTTTATGTTTTGTATGAAATGCATACATGTATAACATGAATACATATAATAGAGAGATAATGTGTAATATTTGTTTGTTTAGTATTCGTTACTTCACGTGTGTCCACCAATGGGTCCACCTGATGTTTTAAAAAAACATCCTTCATTAACAAATGAAGTAGGGTTTTTATCAGTAGATCCTAAAACCTTACAGCACACAAGGTATTCCAATATATATGGAATTGGAGATTGCATTAATGCTCCTAATTCTAAAACAATGGCAGCAATAGGTATAGTATGAATCTTTAATAATTATGAAACAAAATTTGTATTGAAGAACTTTTTCTTTTTACAGCTGCTCAAGGAAAAGTTCTTTTTAAAAATATTATAGATGATTTAGCTGGTAAACCAATGACTATGGCTTACAATGGTTATTCATCTTGTCCCTTAGTTACTGGTTATAGAAAATGCATTTTAGCAGAATTCGACTACAACTTGCAACCAATGGAAACATTTCCAGTAAATCAAGGCAAAGAATATTTTTTCACATTTATACTCAAAGCTTATGCATTTCCGCTTTTGTATTGGACCTTAATGACACGGTAACTTTATTATAAATTTAAAATAAGTTTATAATGCTGACATTAAAAAGATCTTTTTTATAAAGATTTTTATACCTTTATAATTTACAGTGGTAAATGGGATGGACCTGAATTTTTACGGAAATATTCAAATATGATAAAAAAGGAGACTGTCGCTGAAAAATAAGATAATTTATGTGATATGAATAAAATTTGTAGGAATAGAAATGATTTAGATTGAAAAAGAATATGTTTCAAAGTACGTTCGACCTATGTATAATATTTAAGGATATTAATTTAATAATAAATTAATATATTGAGACGTTTATACATTTCGTAACATAACTAAATTTTATATAATTGTACAATATTAAATAATAGTAAATGCATATAAATGTATAATATGTGGTTGAATTATTTAGTACACGATAATGTTGATTAATGTAAATAATATTGAAATAGAAAAATAAAGCTACTAAAAATAATGCTTTAGAAATAAAAAAATCGTATTATATTTATTTTGGTTTATTATATATTCGAATTTGTTCTCTTTTAGGAAATATCTTGATTCACGTTGTATAGTAGACATTGACGCGTCAAGTGTGACGTAAACATGGAGAGTCAGCTATCGGTAGGTTTTCCTAATATGCACTTTACGTTTTTTTTTTTTATGTAGATTTCACAGTAAAGTACATCTCTTAATAATATATTCTTGATGTAAGTATTGTCTCGTGCAATCGTAATCATGAATCGTGCTGGATCATCAAAAGTCGTGCAACATAACCTCTCTCCAATGCTTCAGAGTGACCAGGATCGCAATTTTTGGCAACGCGTATGATTTCTACTGATTTTAAGTTTGCTTTCCGTATCTGTTCCCAATTATTATCATTTATTTAAATAATGATTGAACGAAAGTGTTTCCTAACCTCTTTAATTTAATGTAGCATGTATGATCATTAAAAAGATTGTATTTGAGTACTACATGGGTGCATAACTGGGAAAACTTTTTTTTATGAATTACATTTTAATGTAAAATATATGTATATGTAGGAACCAACGCTTTATATAGTCAAGGCAATGGTAATTCTGGACAATGATGGCAATAGGATATTAGCCAAATATTATGACAAAAATGTTTTTCTTACAACAAAAGAACAAAAAACATTTGAAGAAAATCTCTTCAACAAAACACACAGAGCAAATGCAGAAATTATTATGCTGGATGGTTTAACATGTGTTTATAGATGTAACGTAGATTTGTTGTTTTATGTTATGGGAAGTTCTAACGAAAATGAAGTACATATCAACTTTATCATATATATTTTACTCTGTTAGTAATAAATAATATTTCTGCAGTTTTACAGTTTTTGATTTTTATTCCAGTTAATCTTAATGAGCGTGTTAAATTGTTTCTTTGATTCAGTGAGTCAAATTTTAAGAAAAACTGTTGAAAAAAAAGCTGTTTTAGATAGCTTGGATATAGTCATGCTAGCAATGGATGAAATTTGTGATGGAGGGTAAATAAAAATGTTTAAATTTAGAAATTACATATTAACATGTATGTAAAAAGCAGAAAATAATTTGGAAATTTTTTTTAGAATTATTCTCGATGCTGATGCTTCAAGTGTGGTTCAGAGGGTAGCATTAAGAACCGATGATATTCCACTTGGAGAACAAACAGTTGCACAGGTAATATTTAATATTAGGTATAGGATATTTAATTAATTTAATGGCATAGCAAAGTTTATGTCCATTTACCACATAGAAACATTTTCGATTTTTTTATTTTGTGTTCATGCATCATTCTACATTCTTCGCACAGTCTCTGATTGTAAGTTTTTGTGATTCTAGAAGGCAGAATTATCAACAATCTTTCATAGAATTTTCATTTGTGTCATTAAATATTTTATTTTTGTTCTAGGTTTTGCAATCTGCAAAGGAACAACTCAAGTGGTCTTTATTAAAATAAAATTTGTATACTGAAAATTGTACGAAATATTTGAATGTATCAAATTATTATTTTAAAATATAAAAAAGTAATAAATTCTTTATTATACATTTTGTGAGTGTTATATTACACTGTCCAACAAATTTTAACTTTTTCTCAAATTTGTAGTATCCATTGGGTAACTCTTGTTGCGCTTACCTCCCTGAATACGAATCTGCAAATGAAATTGCTCTATCACAAAAAATTTATTTTTTATGCTTTCTTATGTTAGTATATATTTATTACAATATAATAAGACTACTATGCAAATAAAACAGTTTCCTATAGTAATCTTATTTACTACAGAAAGGAAACGAAAATATAATCATTAAACACAGGAAATACAAAACCTATCGCTCATGTAAGTATTAATTATTAAATTAAACATTGTATAAGAATGTTGCCTATAATTCCAACTTTGCTGTGCAGTTATAAATGTTCATGAATTAATTACAGAAAATTGAAAATTTATTAATTTTCTATTGCCGAATTGATTTATTAAGATGTATTTGGAGCACCTAATTAAAAGAGATATCTAGTTCAAATAAAAATTTTACTGCCTGTGATCAGTGTCAGTTATGATTTTGGACCCGAAGCTCAGAGAAGTAATAGGAATATAGAATAGGCGAGGAGGTCGTCGAAGAGCTCGTCACGTAACAGACAAGGACAGAGGGAAAATAGAAAAGGATAGAAGGGCTCTAACAGTGAAAAGTTAATAAATTACTCAATTTCCGGAATTAATTTATAAACTTTTATAATTACTCAAGAGTAATTAGTGGATTTATTAAAATATATTAGGAGTATATAACCAGAGTTAGTAAACTGACATCAGAGCCGTCTATGTTCTCGTTGTGGAATTCGAGCTTCGAGTCTAAAATCACAGATCGCTCTGATGGCGAAAGTGAAGCTGATTGCCACTATCCGTTCCACTCACGTTCCATCTTCGTAAATAATTTAATAATAATTTGTTTTTTCAGGTATTGTATAATTTTTCTTTTAGTTTCTACTTATTTCTTTTCAAGTGCTAATTATTTTTCTTTTCCTAAATTTTACTTTTTCTTTTCTACTTATTTTTCTCAATGTATTTCTTATGCAATTTGTATATTTCCTTTTTTTTATTGATAGACCAATATTTTGACTCACTGTCTTCTTTCATGACAGATATATGCGTACATTTCCCGAATAATTAAATAACACTCCTTATTAATAGATGAGCAAAGGTTTCTTTACTTTTTCTGAGTTTTATTGATTTGACTCATTAACTTACTTAATATTTATTATTTACAGATCGTATTAATAATTTTGGAGGAAGACAAGGGAACTTCACAGACACATGATTATTTTCGTATATGTAGAAACTTTTAATATAAAGTTTTAACACCTCCGTTCACATCGATACGCATACGTACAATTATTAATAATAATGTCTCCTTGTGATAAACATATAACCGCAATTTGTTAGTCTCCATCAGAACGTACTCGTTAAAGATATTAGCGTTTAATTGGATTTACATTAACTTTTACGTGTACCGTATCGTTTCTTTTTCTTACGCTTGTTATATAAATAAATCGATTCTATTCGATATCGAAAGTTGTTACTTATCATTCAATGTGATTGACAGTTTCTTCGATTATCAAATGTAACTAGAAGAAACTTGCCCTCACTGGAACTGAAAGAGAAAGAAATCAACCGGAAGACGCAGCAGCCATCGAGAGTATCGACGTGTCCTGCCATCGAATCTTATTTAAAAAGCTGCTAATGAGCTATAATATCGATATATTTCCATTCACAGAACCGTCGTTCTCTCGTCCAACCTTTCACGCAGTTCTCTCTTTCTCTAAACGTTTCTAAACGCGTATTTACAGAGTTGAGAATAATTGCTTAGATACTTGAGCATTCGTTCCTCTTCTTCATCTTCTTTTTCTTCCTTAACGTTATATATAAAATTAATGCACGTTAATGAAGAAGATAATCAGATATTCTCATTATTAAGACTGTTGTGTAACTAGAATGTCTTATTTTATGAAATGATAGTTTGAACACTGGAATGTCATTGAATTGTCCATCATCATATGTCCATTTTCATGCAGTATTCTTGATCATCCATCTTCCTTTTATATCGAGGTATGAACTTGTGACTTATCTTTTAAGTTTGTTACATTTTGGTGTATTCGTCGAGGTTTATGGAAGAAATATGTGAAATACATTGTCACGATCTGAGAGATAGTTACAACAGTTGTATCTATGACAGTGATATCGGATGAACTCTGTTTCTGCCAATTCTAGTTGTTTCTCATCTCTAACTAGATATATATATATACAAGTCAATAAGATTTCAAACTACATTCCTCATCTAGTTTGCATTTTCGATACGAAATTTTACAATCTTTTGCTTCTGGTATAAATAAATAGCAATGAAATAAATGTAATTTTACTGACACTTCTTCGAAATTTTCGAACGCTATGAGCAATTTTTCTTCTGATTCAACTTGTCTAAAGATGTTAAAGAACTCTATATCAAAGTTTTTGGAATGTCTTCTCTCCTCCTTTCCTTGTTTTATTCATTTCGGAATTGTTTTTCTTAAATACGTATTTACAGTATTATTTACCCAATTAGGTAATACAAAAACAATGTATGCCCCTAAAATTTTGACTCTAAAATACAGAATGCAGATCCAGAATCTTATCTCATGCCAAACCCAATGCCAGCACCTTGAGCATTGGTGGCTCTTTGTTCCATGGTAATGTATTGTCTAATTAGTCGCGAAATTTCGTGAGCCTGTTCAGTCTGAAGTCTCGTGATTCGTTGTTGCATCAAATTACCACACTTCATGTCAAGGTAAAGGGTTCCTTCTTCAGATTTTACCTTTCTGGTAGAGATTACCTCAGAGTAGGGATAATGATAAAGGGTTTCCTGAAAATTTAATGTTAAATTAATGAATTACTTCTTTAGATAAGAGCAGAAAATTAGGAGTTGGATTACCCACATGTGTGATCAAATCGATAAAATGTACTCCATGTCTATTAAGTGCCAAAATATGATCACCACCCTTTTCTTTTCCTTCAGGAACCCTTTTCACAGCAAAGAAACTAGATCCGAACAATGGCCACTTCCACAGAATTTCTGAGACATGAAAATAAGTTATTCCTTTTGTAAAATTAATGGTCATAGTAAACAATTAAAACACTCACCAAGCACCTGTGCTTTACAAGCAGCTACTGTATTGTGTTGCACGTTATTCCATGCTTGCTGAACCATATTTGACCACTGTTGTGGTCGTGGTTCTCTTAAACTAAGCACTGGTTTTGGTAATAAATATTTTATTTCTTTTGTTGTTGGTTCATGGGTCATATCTGCTGCCCTATGTAAAAGAGCAGCTATTTGTGCCATGTCATACTAAAAAGAAAAGACATTAATTAAAAATTAAATGTGAATTTAGTATATTGTAGAAAATCCTAAAAGGTAGGAGAAACTCACTATGACTTCTTGAGGTAAATGTTCACCAGGTAAAACTAATAAAAGACCTTCCAAATAGTCTGGAGCAATTTGATTGAATACGACTTCTATATACAGTGGTGCATCCAGTCTTAAAGGATAATACCATACAGATCTAAATTTAGAAAGGTTATTTATATTAATTTCTTACAATTTTATTTATAGTGCTTACTTAGGTTTAAGTAGAATTATATTTAAATAATTTCAAACATTTTTAAATAATTTCTTCCGTGGTTAAAACAAACCTGCAGAATATTAAATAAAAAACTTGATGATTTTTATGTAGTTCTGTAGTTACATCTAGTACATATTCATCCCTAGCTAAAGGCATAGTAAATGCATCACCATCGACGATACAATACAACGAGAATTCATCCATTTCATGAGGATTTCTTACAGATATTATGTTGCACATCTCTTCGATAACATCCTGTTAATAAAAATAAATTAAAATAATAGTTTCGATAAATGTATATGCATGGTATATAAAGATTTGAATTTGAATTTTGGCGCGCAAATTTTCCTTGCTTAACAAGGGTTACGAAGCGCAGTGATGTCGGTGAGTTGAAAGTGTTTCATAAAAAGGAGGAAAATTGATAAAAAGGACAGAGTTATCGGTAAACTTTTTAACTTATTTTATTTTAATTAAGGAAGTAATTATATCTATTGTTATTTATGATATACATATACTAATTAACGAGATTTCTTTGACGCTATGCCGAGTATGTCAATTTAGGTTATGTAATATCAAATTACGTTTTTTTTAATCCGAAAGTATTTGAAACTGTCATTTTATACATTAATTATGAATTAAGAACTTTAATGCTTATAATTTTGTACTATTAAATTGATATGGTAGTTATAATATGATTTTTTGTTCATATTAATAATTGCATACTAAAGCACAGAGTCTCAACTGTATTTTTTAAAAGATTTATAAAACAGCGATTATTTTGTTGTATTTAAGAAATTTTAGTACTATTATATAAATATCCCAATTCATTTCTTCTTTGTTTTATAATTTACAGTAAGTAATTGAAAGAACTTACCTGTACAACAGTTGTACATTTGGTGTTGATTACTCTTTCTGTTCCACCTGGTAATCTGTATATCTGTCTCTTTGCATTTCTTCCTGCACTGATTGCCATAATCTCATCCACGCTTGGCACATTTTTTCTTCCTCCATATTTAACTGTCTTTCTAAGATTCTGTAGACACACTGTGGCTGTTCCATGATAAGCTCTCCTCTTATCATAAGCTGCAGTTTCCAGATATTTGGTAAGGTAAGGTCTCAGACCATCGCTGCAAGTGAAATAAGCAGCAACGATACTGAAGATTCTCCAGCCACGTTGACAACTATCTGGATTTGGGCTCTTGTTGTTTGTAGTCTGTTTCATCAGTTGACAGTAAACTTCATCACGAAGTAGTTCATATTTGTGACAATGCTGCAATGAAATTGAAAATGGTGAGAATAATATTCTTAAATGTTAAATTTAGATTTCAATAGTTTATAAGGGGAGAAAGTGATGGTTTTTCTCATTGTAGTTATTTAGAGGATTAAGGCTTATTATAAGTATTCCTTTTCAATGTAAGAGATGTTTAGAAATAGATGAAAATAAAAATGGCTATGGGAGAAATACAAATTAGCAATATCATATTTATCTTCCTCTTTGATAACAAATTTGCTGGTGAAGTATCACTGTATTATTTTATAGGCCATACAGGTAATGAAATACTATTGTTAATTGAAGAACAAGGTTTTAATGGACATGCATTTATAAAATGTTTAAATCTCATAACTTCTTTTTCAAGAAATTCATTAGTTTAAAGAAAATAATGTCACTAACCATCAAAATGGTGTAAACACATTTTACTTCACTAGTATCTGGAGGTAACGGTTGATCACCCATGTATCTCATCAGACATAAGAAGCATTCCACTGCCAAGGCACTTAAATCTGCATCCAGTCTCAAAAGACTTTGCTCTATTGGCACGGCAGAGTATTTTACAAGATCCACTTGCTCCTTCCAAGTCCATTCTGCACCATCCTGTTGACCTTTGCTTTTCTTATTCTTCTTTTTACTTTTCAGGGATTCTATCACCTTAAGAGATCCACTTATGGATCCATCTGCTGTTTTCAACATTTCAAACCTATAAAAAGGAGAGCTTTATTAAAGCATTCGTTTCTCAAAAATCTACTTATGATAGTAAAAAGTTCTAATTGCACAAAGGGGCTGTTGGAATCAATTTATCGACGGAACGGGACTTGGGGGTGACGTAAGTAATAGTCTTCCAAAACGGAAGACGTCTAGTTGGAGGAGTACGTAGCCGTAAAGGAGATTTCCATTGCAGGATGTTGCTACAGACAGAGGAAAAAGTCCCGTTGAGAATACTGGCCGGGTGGTCGTCACTTGTCAAAGTCATGTTTAGGAAGTCTACACTCTAGTTAGGTGTTTTAATGATACCTCTTCGACTTGGTCGAAGGTTGATCTTTCTGTATCCTGTCAGTTCGTTATCGTTTTTGCGTCAAGTCTTCTCTCGTTTTACTTAGATTTTACCTCGTTACAAATCCGTTTCCTGTGTAAAGCACGTCTAAATAATTATTTCCAAATCTCTTTGAATAATGAAAACTGTACAATGAACAGTGAAAACATCTAATTAACTTTAATTAGTCGTACACGTTAGTATAGTTAGCAGGCATTGAGTGGCGAAGTAAAATTAAAATACATTTGCAATGTCAATTCTCGTTTCTTTATAATATTTCATAGTCAATTAAAGTGCAATATTGTAATCCTACGTACATGGTTTTTAGAAATCTATTCATTAGTGGTTTTCTTAAATTCCATCTAGATCTTTCTTCCCTGACATAGTCTCTCCATCAAGAACGAGGTTATAGTATATATAAAAAATTTGATCACAAATTTTTATGTCCAACGAACAAATTCAGGTTTTCTCGACAAGTTAGGATGCACTTTGGAACGGTAACTCGCGAAACGCGGAATAATGCCAAAAGGAGACGAGCTGTACTCGTTAGCCGCACGTTCACCAAGATGGTCGATGTTACTCTGAGAACTGCAGTGCGTTATGCTTTCTCAACACGGCTGGCTCGTGTTTCTTGCGTAAGAGGGACCAATTAGTCGTTAACATTAATTTCTCTTTTATTGCGATGTCTCGTTTTGGTAAAAGTGTTTCTCGTTTGTTTAGAATTTTAAGGGCGGGAATTTGTTCCAATTACGAGATATATATTTTTTTTCATACTTACTGATTCTAGCCTAGAGCGTATAGCGTGTAACACGTTGCAAAAGAAAATACATTATGAGCTTGATTTTTAGAATTGGTAATTAAGTATACTCGTTGAAATTTTGTTCGCTAAATGCAGAAGTTTTAATTTATTTTCTAATTTCAATTAAAGGTAACAACTGTAAGGAAAAGCTCCTGCATTTATACAATATTTCAAGGGTTTTCTAAATTTATGATTGCTGTCTATTAAAGACAAATATATTATCTCACGAAATAAATTGTGAAACTAAATTAAGATAGATATAGGAAATTAATTGAAATAATGTACTAACTTCTCTGTGCTTTGTCTAAAGTTCAGCATGGCGTACTGCAACAGAGAGTGTTTTCCGTCGTTGACGACTGGCCCGCTCTCGTAGATGCCATCTTCTTGCAATCTGCCGTTGTCTTCCGGTTGCCGCCATTCCTGGTTCGGGCTGAGCCGCTGGTTTTGCTGGTTTTTCTGATGATTCGTCTGGTTCGTCGCCGACACGTGGTTCGGCACACGACTGGCAGACACGTGGTTCTCGTGGTTTGAGATGACATGATTAGGCTGACCATGGGATTGAACATGATTCGGAGTACTATGATTCGCTTGTGACTGGATCGATTTTGTAATCTGAGATACATGATTCTCATGATGATTTGGCTTATGCAACGGCTTCTGATCGACCTGCAATCGTAACGTACCATTTTGTTAATTATTTTATTTGTTATTTGAATATCGAATCTTTATCATTGTAATTGCATCTTTTCAAAACGTAACAATGTTAGGTACACGCAGAAATTTTTTTTCTCGAAGAGGATATTCGAAGAAGCCTTAAATAGGAGCAATCTGGATCACGAAAGTCACGAATACCTCGGCTATGAGTATTAATTATAAATTTTAAATCGATAGCCATGTAGCGGAATGTATCAAATATTTATAATCGAGAAAGTTAGATCTTAGACGGATCGAGATATCATTTAATATAATATATGAAATTGAACTTTCACGCGCTTTTCAGTAGGGAAAAGCGTCGATTTAGAGCAGAGGAAATCGTTTCACTTTAAACGATAAAAAACAATTATAAACTTATTAGATTTCCATAAATCACTGATAACAGGATAAACGTGTCATCTAAATTAAGTACTACTTTTCACTTCCGGAATAATATATCCCATTCGTTACGTTCGTTGGTCGAAGGTTCAGATTTCGTCTCGCGAACGAGTCTCTTCCGTCTTCTTATCACGATCGAAAGATCAAGAAATCACGTTCGAGTGCGTAAACTACCGATGGCAAAACCCCCGTATGTGGGCGGCACGTCGCCCTGGTTTCTCGAGTGATTTACACGACGGTTTCTCGACCTTTCCTATTATTCATTTTCTCTTTCGGCTCGCGTTTCCTGCTTTTCACCGACATGGTTGCGAATATCTCGGATCCACCGTTCGATCTCGCGAACGAGAAAACGGGTTTCCCTGCACGCGATCCAGGACCAACAGAGGAATGCGAAAAATATGTTCGACGAGCTTCTCTTTTCATTTGTTACTTCCTTTTACCGATCGATCGACTATCAGATAAATGGTTCGATGAAACTCGCGAATCGATAATCTGCGAAGGACCTACGACCGACTTTTATCCAAACTCTTCACGCGTTACATCCGTGTAACTGGTTTTATCAGACGAGCGAAACTAGATTCTGTGTAAATTTATTTCGTTTGTAAATGTGGAGGAAAGATAGGCTGGCATTGAGGATTCACAGAAGAAAATCGATAGCATCCGTTGTACGAGTTTTGCACTTTTCCGAGGCTGGTAATGTCGTGAAAGTTTCTGAGTTTATAGCTCCTTCTGATTGCCATTATTATTTCTGCAGCTGACATATATTTAGTAAATTGTGATTTCTTTCATCTGGAACTGTAATTTTTCCGCGGCGCTGTTGCAGGAATGATATTGCAATAACGTAACCATCAATTTGCCGTAATTTGCAAAGTAATAGGTAGCTATTACCCGAAAATAAAGGAACATGTAGCGCATTGTCAATTTTTGTACGTATTATGGCAGTTTCTTCTGGACGTAAATTACACTAAAAAGAGAGCTGGCAGCCATTCCTTCTGCAAGGCTTAACGTAGGTAGCAGGCTTTTTAAGCTGCTCGATCTAGAAAATGATTAAATCAGAGAATTCCTTCGTACTTTAATCCCAATTAAATCGAAGAAAATCGTGCGTTCTTCGGGCATTAAAAGGATTCGAATTCCAAATACTTTCTAGTCATCTCGCATGAAAGATGATTATTATCCCAAGGAAATCGTAACGTGGCACCCGGTATATCGATAGCTGAAACCCTGCTGACAAAACCTGAATGTATCTGAGCGAGTGAGATAAGCAGATGTTGACCCTGACCCACATAATCGTTAATGCATCCAGGTACGGTGGTAAACGTGAGCACACATAGTTACGCTAATGGTATTAATAAGAATAACCATCCACTCGATTCTCTCCGGCCTGTTTATGAAATAAATTGCGCTACAACTCTATCAGACATTCCCGCGTGTAATTTTTGTTGAAATATCTATCTGGGTGAGCATTTCATTTGCCATGCAAAAAAGTCAGTTCCCCCAAGATCAACATCTACCTATCTGCTTCTTCAAGTGTGTTCAAACGAGATACCAGATGCAGAAGAGGATTAAGACGTAACGTAAACTTCTGTCACGGTATGATATATACGCTGTTTTAGGCGTCATAAAGTCCTGATTCGTTGTTCGTTAACCTTAATTGCCGGACGAACGATACCTTCTAAGGTGGCACCATTAATCCTCTTTAAACTTTTTAATGGTTCCGCTCGTTACACACGGCGCAGCCTTCAATTACGGTACCTTTACCACTGGCTACATTTTACTAATATCTTGGCACAGTGGCCATGTAAACAGGGCCGATTATGCGAGCACGCCGCGAAAGCAACCGTCTGCATTCCTTTTCGGTACTTTATATCGTCCAACTAACGGTAAAAATCTTCCACAGTCTCTGACGATTCCTCCTCTTCCAGAGATCGGTCCTCGAAGGTTCCACCCCCTCGAGAGTGATCAGGCTGGTGACCGTACGGAAAATCGTCTCTCGCGTGTCTAGTCGCGATTCCATCGTAGAATCTTGGAGCGATAGGAGGAAAAAAGGAAAGGAAAATATAATTCTGGCGTCATCGAGGCTAACCGTGGTCCGGATTAATAGGGAAAG